ACATTGTGAAGATGCTGGAGGAAACAGGTACAAAAGTATCTATATCCACAGTAAAACAAATCCTATATCGATAAAACCTGAATGGCCGCTCAGCAAGGAAGAAGCCACTGCTCCAAAACCGCAATAAAAAAGCCAGACTACGGTTTGCAAATGCAAATGGGGACAAAGATCGTACTTTTTGGAGAAATGTCCTCTGGTCTGATGAAGCTAAAATATAACTGTTTGGCCATAATGACCATTGTTATGTTTGGAAGAAAAAGGGGGAACTTACAAGCCGAAGAACACCATCCCAACCGTGAAGCACGGGAGTGGCAGCATCATGCTGTGGGGGTGCTTTGCTGCAGGAGGGACTGGTATACTTCACAAAATAGATGGCATCATGAGGAAGGTAAATTATGTGGATATATTGAAGCAACATCTCAAGACATCAGTCAGGAAGTTAAAGCTTGGTTGCAAATGGGTCTTCCAAATGGACAATGACCCCAAGCATACTTCTAAAGTTGTGGTAAAATGGCTTAAGGACAACAAAGTCAAGGTATTGGAGTGGCCATTACAAAGCCCTGACCTCAAGCCTATAGAACACTTGTGGACAGAACTGAAAAAGCGTGTGCGAGCAAGGAGGCCTACAAACCTGACTCAGTTACACCAGCTCTGTCAGGAGGAATGGGCCAAAATTCACCCAACTTAATGTGGGAAGCTTGTGGAAGGTTACCCGAAACGTTTGACCCAAGTTAAACAATTTAAAGACAATGCTACCAAATACTAATTGAGTGTATGTAAACTTCTGACCCACTGGGAATGTGATGAAAGAAATAAAAGCTGAAATTAATCATTATCTCTACTATTATTCTGACATTTCACATTCTTAAAATAAAGTGGTGATCCTAACTGAGCTAAGACAGGGAATTTACTAGGATTACATGTCAGGAATTGTGAAAACTGAGTTTAAATGTATTTGGCTTCAACTGTACACTTAACATTTACCCAAACGCACACAGCAAATTCTCCAGTGTAAAAAAACAAAACAAATCAACACTGACTGTGTTAAATCAACACTGAACAAACACTGAATGTTGATTTAACACTCTCAGTGTTAATTTGTTTTGTAAGTATTGAAAGTATTTTGAGGGCCTAGTTTTACGCTAATACAGGGGCCTGAAACTCATACACATCACTTTTAACCAAAACCATGCCCATCATTTTCATATTTCCCAGCATGCTCTATCGCAGGTTGAATTTTAGAATAGTTTGTTTCAAAATCAATGTTTGTGCATGTACATTGATTCATTCATTAAACTTATGCTACACAAAGATAAATAACATTCCTTTTTCTAAACTTATCCTGATTGTTAGTTTGATATTTTGCACCCATTACTGAAATGTTTGTTCCAGTTTAAATCCCTTAGGTAGTCTCCTCACAATGTTCCAAATCCTGGCACGCATTCTGAATGCTGAATAAAAATCTTAACTATTGGATATCCTAATTCTAGTTGAATCCCAAGAGGAATTACACATCACTTTGCAAGACAGCATAATGTGATTTGCAGGTAGAAAATCTGGAATTTTGCAATTCTGCGGTATGAACTGGGGTACAGTTACACACTTCTAAATAAAAGTACAAAGGACGACCTTACAGGGTACCACTAGTGCCAAGTGTTTGAACCCCTTCAGGAATAAATTAAAAATAAATACAATGGCATGAAAATCATGGTTTACAGGCCAAATCTGGCCTGCAAGTCACATTATGCTGGTTTGCAAGATGATGTGTAATTCCTATGGAATCCAGCCAGTGTGGGGATATCCAATTTTTTGATTTTGGTCAATTGCAACCTGTATTCAGAATGACTGCCAGGGTTGGGAAGACTAAGCAATGAGACTGCCTAAAGCATCTAAACTGGAACAACCATTTTAGTAACGGGTGCAATAAGACCTAGTAACATATTGGATGAGTTTACAAAATGTTTATAATTTATATTTGAGTACCATAAGATTAATTCATCAATCTATCAATGTACACTGAACAAAAATTATAAACGCAACATGTAAAGTGTTGGTCCCATGTTTCATGAGCTGAAATAAAAGATCCCAGACATTTTCCATATGCAGAAAAAGCGTATTTCGCTCAAATTTTGTGCACAAATTTGTTTACATCCCTGTTAGTGAGCATTTCTCCTTTGCCAAGATAATCCATCCACCTGACAGTGGTGGCATTTCAAGAAGCTGATTAAACAGCATGATCATTACACAGGTGCACCTTGTGCTGGGGACTATAAAAGGCCACTAGAAATGTGCAGTTTTGTCACACAACACAATGCCAGAGATGTCTCAAGTTGAGGGAGCATGCAATTGGCATGTTGACTGCAGGAATGTCCATCAGAACTGTTGCCAGATAATTTAATGTAAATTTCTCTACCATAAACCGCCTACAACGTTGTTTTAGAGAATTTGGCAGTATGTCCAACTGGCCTCACAACCGCAGACCACGTGCAACACGCCAGTCCAGGACCTCCACATCCGGCCTCTTCACCTGCGGGATCGTCGGGGGGAGCTGAGGAGTATTTCTGTCTGTAATGAAGCCCTTTTGTGGGGAAAAACTCATTCTGATCGGCTGGGCCTGGCTCCCCAGTGGGTGGACCCATGCCCTCCCAGGCCCACCCATGGCTGCACCCCTGCCCAGTCATGTGAAATCCATAGATTAGGGCTTAACACATTTATTTCAGTTGACTGATTTCCTTAGATGAACTGTAACCTGTAAATTGTTTGAAACTGTTGCATGTTGCTTTAATATTTTTGTTCTGTATACATGCACAAACATAGATATTGAAACAAACAATTCTAAAAATCAACCTGCAATAGAGCATGCTGGGGAAAATAATAATGATGGGTGTTGCTTTGGCCCAAAGTGATGTGTCCACTTTATTAGGGGAAAACTTGGCCCTCAAAATAAGGCCTTATGACATACGTATGGTATTGTGTTAAATACATATATGTTTTTTTTATGATAACATTGGTGAAGTCCATCGGACCGAAAATCGATGAATGCAACCACCATGTTTCTGTCACTAACAAATACAATCATGTGTGGTAACTCTCCAATTTACTCGAAAGGCAAGGCACTCTGGGCAATATTTAAATAAGGCTTTAAGCAGTGTGTTTTTGTTTTGTTTTTTTTAAGTCATTTAGCAGACACTCTTATCCAGAGCGATTTACAGTTAGTGCATACATGTCTTTTTTTTCATAAAAAAATAATTTAACACTGTTCCAGTGTCTATATGGGTCCACAGAATCAACACTTTCAATGTTGATTTAACACTGTGTTCATTTGTTAATTTTTTTTACACTGGAAAATTTTCTGTGTATACATATCTACTGTAGTTGTATTTTATACAGAGAAAAACAGAGAGAGAGAGAACAAAAGAAAGGAAATATCTTTAAGGTGCAGAGCAAATTGGCCAGTGTTGATATTTCAGTGTAGCATTTCTAGTGTTGATTTAGGAGTTAAATTCAATCTGTGAGAGTGAAATTAACACTGAGTGGTATAAAACGAACCTCCAGTGTTGGTGTTACTAACCAGAGTTGTTGTTTTACACTTGGGAAAGCAAAACAGTCCTATCAAAACCATGCCCATCATTATCATATTTCCCAGCATGCTCTACTGCAGGTAGATTTTTTTAGGATTGTTTTTAATATCTGTTTTTGCATGTACATTGATTAATTAATCATGCTACACGACGATAATAAATACAAATTCTAAACTAATCCAATCAGTTAGATTTATTGCACCTGTTACTGAAATGGTTGTTCCAGTTTAAATGGTTTAGGTAGTCTTCTTATCAACTTTCCTAACCCTGACAGTCATTCTGAATGCAGGTTGCAGGTGAATACAAATTCCAATTGTTGGATATCCTAACTCTGGCTGGATTCCAATCAGAATTACACATCACTTTGTAAACCAGCATAATGTGACTTGCAGGCCTGATGTGGCCTATAAACCAGGAGTTTCCTAACACCACTGTGTTAGGGTATAGCTAGGCCATCAAAGTAAGTCCTTATGGCATTGTATTGTCATAGTTAAATTTGTATTCAATGCAAATTGGGCTTTCCACAATAGTGTTAAAACACCCACAAATGATTTACTGTAACACAACGTGTTAATTTCTTACACTGAAAAAGTGTATAACGTCAGCACAACGCAAAGTGAGTCCAGTTTACTCTAAATCAAGTGTTATGTTTTACACTGTAGCTGTTGCATATTACGTTACAGCAGAACTATGCAAACACCACAATCAAGCTCATTTGAACACTTTAAGAGTTGAATGGGGAACACCTACAACAGAGTTCAATCTTTAACACTTTCAAAAGTGTTATTTTAACACCAGTTCAGTAGGACTCAGATGTTCACTGGAAATAGTGTACATTTAACACTTTCCGCGTTAAATGTACACCATTGATTTTGCTGTGTGAAGCTAACACACCCTTTGTTTAATTTACTCTGGTAGATGTTACCTGCCGTCAGTGAACACCTATAATCAAATCAAATCGTATTTGCCACATGCGCCGAATACAACAGGTGTAGACATTACAGTGAAATGCTTATTTACAAGCCCTTAACCAACAATGCATTTTTTAAGTGTTAAGTAAAAAATATAAAAGTAAACAACTAAAGAGCAGCAGTAAAATAAAATAACAGTAGGGAGGCTATATACAGGGGGGTACCGGTGCAGAGTCAATGTGTGGGGGCACCGGCTAGTCGAGGTAATTGAGGTAATATGTACATGTGGGTAGAGTTAAAGTGCAGTCAATGGTTAACACAAACATAGAAATACTAAAAACTCTTCAGACTCGCATGAAAAATAACACTCGCCCTGATCTTCTCCTCGTAGAGTTTTAATTTTCTTAACTGTGAACTCTGAGTGCGCCTCATAAAATGCGACCTCACATTGCCTCAAAGTTACAACACTTAAAATAGTGACACTAGTGAGTTAAAGTGTTATTGAGTTTTATGAGGCTGTGTCTGTCTGTCTATATCTGTCTGACATCCATATCATGGCCTGGTGCTTCAGGAGGGACAAGAGGTGGTTATACAACTGCTGGGAGGTAGTCACGCTTCAGCATGTATCCATCCAGTGTGTGTGTGTGTGTGTGTGTGTGTGTGTGTGCTGCAGATGGTGTATGTGTTTCGGACAGTGGGTGTGTGTCCCCCTCATCCTCATCCCGGCCACGGAAAGCATGTAGACACCCACCTGCAGTCAGGCACTGGATAAAAACACAGGTCAATCAACGTCCGCAGTCGGGCACCGCAAAACACTGTCACCCCCTACCACTACTGTAACTGTTACAAATGGCACCCTATTCCCTACATAGTGCACTACCTTTGACCAGGGCCCATAGTGCTATCATTATGTGCCATTTGGGACACACACTATGACTGTGCCTGGCCGTGAGCGTTAGTGAGGGAACAGGTGGTATTGTTATGTTTAAGTGTCATCTTCACCCCTCCCCCTTGTTCTCCAGCCTCCAGCCCCCCTGTCTGTGCTATCATTATGTGCTACTGCCCCCTACTGAGGAGTGATGGCTGTGCGCCCCCAAGGTCACGGTTGTGTCCCAATCATCTATCCTTCCTTTCTCCCGAAGTGTGCATTTGTTCACTTCCCTCCATGGATTTGAAAGGAAATGACTGGTATATGAAAACTCCCTCTAGCCTACACCAATACAATGCTTTTCTATTTGTGAGGAGTAGTGAACGAGTGCACTCTTCAGGAGGAAGGAGAGATTATTGGGGCGCAACCCAGGTTCTGGGAAGAAAAAGAAAAGGGAGCAGGCAGGGGTGCACTTACTACCTCCCTCCATGTGTCCGGGCTGGGCTTAGGGGATCGATGCCACCACCATGCAGCCATGAGACCCTGCAGGCTCACAAAACACAAACATTTACAGAGACATCTTCCTCTGTGTGTGGTGTGTCACTTATAGCCAGGGCAGTGTGTGTGTGTGAGGGACGGAGGGAGGAAGGCAAGGATCTAACCAGTTAATGGGGGATAAATAGGTCTATAGTTTCCCTTCAACAGAAACACCTGGTGCTGAGAGGTCTGTCTGGGCTGAGGGAGTGGAGAATGGAGACAGTGGTGATAAGGTGGACAGTGTACATGGCAAAATACAGCTCAGGTGACAAAAGGATTGATGTTTTTGGAAACAAGCAGAGGTTTCCCTTTTAAAGAAAACATATGGTAATATACTGAACTATTACCATCTATCAGGTGAGGAAAAGGTGGATGTCTTTTGAAAGCTTGAATCAATATGAATCATATCAATGTGACCATATAAAACAAAAAATTAACGGGGTTATTATTTTAATCAGTAATACAGACACTATTCCACATTGGGCAGATAAGTGGTCCTTTTGAACACAGAAGACGATGGTAAAATAGTGAACTTTATCAGTAATACGGGCTAGAGACACTAATCTATGTCTGACCATCTCTTTTCACCAAATGTGAATAGAATGACCGTTAAATAATCTCTAATCTCCTCACATTAATCCACATTAGTCCCTTGACCCTGAATACTATGCTCGGCCCCAGTCAGGCGTTTTCACAGTTACAGAAGTTAGACACAATCGGTCTAATTTGCGACAGTTTCGGTAAATCCTGTCACTTAATTTGAAGTCCTGCACATCATGCCTAATTACTGCACTCTGAAGCTGTGGCTGCCTGGCCGGTGTCCAACCCACCGGTGGAGGATAGGCGAGGGGAGAAGCTAGAAGGGGGGAGGGGAGCGGGAGGAGAGGGAAGGGGGGAGAAGAGCGGGAAGGGATGGGGCACGAGCCGTCAGCCCTGGTACACGATGATGTCAGACACACACTAGAACACCAAACTGGAGCCTGACGCTTCACATTCCCATCAGCCTCAGCAGATTACAATATAGAGGGAGATACTTATCTATTACGGGGCACGGGGAGAAGGAAGATGACCAGTTTCCACTTAATATTATGTTGTAAATGGAAACTATACAGGACAAACAGTTTAGGAAACCAAGTGTACTGTACAGTCGTGGTCAAAAGTTTTGAGAATGACACAAGTATTGGTCTTCACAAAGTTAGTGTTATGAGTGTTATGAGATATTTTTGTCAGATGTTACTATGGTATACTGAAGTATAATTACAAGCATTCCATAAGTGTCAAAGGCTTTTATTGACAATTACATGAAGTATATGCAAAGAGTCAATATTTGCAGTGTTGACCCTTCTTTTTCAAGACCTCTGCAATCCGCCCTGGCATGCTGTCAATTAACTTCTGGGCCACATCCTGACTGATGGCAGTCCATTCTTGCATAATCAATGCTTGGAGTTTGTCAGAATTTGTAGGTTTTTGTTTGTCCACCCGCCTCTTGAGGATCGACCACAAGTTCTCAATGGGATTAAGGTCTGGGGAGTTTCCTGGCCATGGACCCAAAATGTCGATGTTTTGTTCCCCGAGCCACTTAGTTATCACTTTTGCCTTATGGCAAGGTGCTCCATCATGCTGGAAACGGCATTGGTCGTCACCAAACTGTTCTTGGATGGTTGGGAGAAGTTGCTCTCGGAGGATGTGTTGGTACCATTCTTTATTCATGGCTGTGTTCTTAGGCAGAATTGTGAGTGAACCCACTCCCTTGGCTGAGAAGCAACCCCACACATGAATGGTCTCAGGATGCTTTACTGTTGGCATGACACAGGACTGATGGTAGCGCTCACCTTGTCTTCTCCAGACAAGGTGTTTTCCGGATGCCGCAAACAATCGGAAAGGGGATTCATCAGAGAAAATGACTTTACCCCAGTCCTCAGCAGTCCAATCCCTGTACCTTTTGCAGAATATCAGTCTGTCCCTGATGTTTTTCCTGGAGAGAAGTGGCTTCTTTGCTGCCCTTCTTGACACCAGGCCATCCTCCAAAAGTCTTCGCCTCACTGTGCATGCAGATGCACTCACACCTGCCTGCTGCCATTCCTGACCAAGCTCTGCACTGGTGGTGCCCCGATCCCGCAGCTGAATCAACTTCAGGAGACAGTCCTGGCGCTTGCTGGACTTTATTGGGCGCCCTGACGCCTTCTTCACAACAATTGAACCTCTCTCCTTGAAGTTCTTGATGATCCGATAAATGGTTGATTTAGGTGCAATCTTACTAGCAGCAATATCCTTGCCTGTGAAGCCCTTTTTGTGCAAAGCAATGATGACGGCACGTGTTTCCTTGCAGGTAACCATGGTTAACAGAGGAAGAACAATGATTTCAAGCACCACCCTCCTTTTAAAGCTTCCAGTCTGTTATTTTAACTCAATCAGCATGACAGAGTGATCTCCAGCCTTGTCCTCGTCAACACTCTCACCTGTGTTAACGAGAGAATCACTGACATGATGGCAGCTGGTCCTTTTGTGGCAGGGCTGAAATGCAGTGGAAATGTCTTTTTGGGATTAAGTTCATTTTCATGGCAAAGAGGGACTTTGCAATTCATCTGATCACTCTTCATGACATTCTGGAGTATATGCAAATTGCCATCATCAAAACTGAGGTAGCAGACTTTATGAAAATTAGTATTTGTGTCATTCTCAAAACTTTTGACCACGACTGTAGGTGTGGGATGACAGTGGCATGGAGGCATTTTTAGATTTCCATATATTTTTCACCTATTTGATTCAAAATATCATACATGACACAAGTAAACATGATATAGGGCGTCCTATCAAAAACACATAAAAAACGCATCTTTTTAAATTTAATTCAGCTCGTCATGCCAATTTTGCTTTTTGAGAACCGCGGAAACAACTTTGAAGACGACCACAAAATGTAAAATCCTCAAAAGTTGTTACGAGAAACCTGCACCACATCTCAGTGCTTATTATCGGATGTATTAGGTTACGAAATCCAACTTTTCTGATATAATGTTAATATAATAATAATAATAATATGCTAGAGAAAGACCCCACTGAACAATTCAGAACATGAATAATCATTTGTCTTGGTAAAATGTATCTTATAACATAAGGAAGTGACATTTTATCACCAAAGAGTGGGTGGACACCCTACATGATACACGTTTTCAACTTGTTTTAGTGTACAGAAAGCATACCAGTGAAACTCACATCAATATTACTTTTTATTTCATTATTGGACTTACAGAAGGCCTTGCGTGTTAACAAAACTAAATATCAAAAATATGCACAGTGCAGAAGAGATACAAACGATACTGTACAAACTTTTAAAAAGGAGTATCTCTTAAAGTGGAACTGACAGCATTTTAGCAACATAAATTCGTATTAAAATCTGTTCATATACACCCCCAGGAAAAATATGACACTTTTTGAAACATTTTCTGACAAGCAAGCACTTAGATAACATCATTTTCACGGTTTCATTAATTCTTAGAATGTTTGGGAATTACATTAAGTCCCCTGTAGCTCAGTTGGTAGAGCATGGCGCTTGCAACGCCAGGGTTGTGGGTTCGTTTCCCACGGGGGCCAGTATGAAAAATGTATGCACTCTAACTGTAAGTCGCTCTGGATAAGAGCGTCTGCTAATTGACTTAAATGTAAATGTAATATACTAAGGCATTTGTGAAAATTCTATAGCAATATAGAGTGGGAAATCGTCCGTACGTTTGGACAGTTAATAGACACTGCTGTAAATAAAACCGAATAAAAACATCTGTCTCGTCCAAGACCGGAGTCTACACAGACTGGTGTGCTATAGCCAATCAAAGCTACAGTAGGCCTTTATACAAACAAGCCATTTGCCACATGGGCCTGCCATCATTCACTTTGAACTGGACTGTGGGTTTACAGGCAGTTGCAACAGCACAACTTTAGATCATTAGAACACATTCACCAAAAGCCACAAAATACACCTGAATTCATTTCTGCAAACATGTAAACACCACGGGAGTCCTCTTACATTTGGGAACTTTACAGTCCTATTGATCAAACAACCATGAAAAGGTGGGCTCTCTCTCCCTCAGTTATGCAAATCAACAACAACAAGATCAACAACTAATGCTAGCCAGAGCAAGATGAACTAAAATCTAACGTAGGAACATTAGATAAACGCTCTCAAACTTTTTCAGCTAGTTGGCTGTCAAAATTGCATTGATAAACAATGGGGAATTGTAGCCTACTTGTCCTTCTGCAGCTTGCCTGCCAATGCATACCTGTCCCAACCAAGCACCCAAGCTAACTGTCTAAAGATGGCTAGCTTGCTAGCTAGCTACTTCCAGACACAAATGAGACAACACCTCACTCTGACCATTTTACTCGCCGTAGCAGAGCTGGTTACATGTTATCTAGAGTGTTCTTGACTAACTATTACTTTTTTGGACAATGTACCAGGCCAGCTGTGATTTACAACCTGATAGCAATATTTTTTGGACTACCAAGAAATGTATTGGTGAATTATATTAATCATGCATTGAACTGCATCCATCTATTCTGCCAACAATGCCTTAGTGTACGTCATGGAACATTGAGTAAATATAACCTATTTCTAAAACCTCTTATAAAGTTGGTTTTGTAGCATAAACTGGGAATTTTATATTTTTGACTGATATTATGATTGTTTCATATCTGCAAAGTAGTTAAAACGCTATCAGTTCCACTTGAAAAGCAGACAGTGTGAGGAAGGTGAGCAAGGGTGGCTGGAACACAGAATGAGAAGTACAACTCATTCTGATTGTACTGGGTCTGCCTTTTTCTTGGGTCTGCCTCTGCCTCTCTTCAGGCCAGGAGTGGTCTGAGTACCCATCTCCACCAGTGTCTTCTTGGGGCTAACAGCACTCTTTTTAAGGGTCACTTTCTTCTTGGGGCTGACTACCCTTTTCACTCCATTCACCTCTGTAGGGAGAAGATTACAATTTGAAAACAGTGAGATTTAACCTGAGGAGAGGAAAAAGGAGAGGAAATTCTTACCTTTCTTCTTTGGAGCTTTTATTTTCTTGGCGGGAGTGCCGTCGGTCTCGTCATTAGACTCATCTTTATAATCTACCGCTTTCTTTCTTTTGGTAGTCTTCTGTGAGGAGAGGGAAAGAAAGGAGGGATGAGAACAAGTGCTGAGAGACAGAGACAGAGACAGACAGAGAGACAGACAGAGAGACAGACAGACAGACAGAGAAACAGTGGTCAAATCTCCCGGGCCGCTTGCAGCAACCTTGGAGGGGGCCGAAATCAAATATGCAATGAGAAACTCTGCTTGGGTACACGACGACCGAATGTTTACATCTGCCCGGAGCCTTGTGAACGCCTGTGTGACATCTGAGCAAATGCAATTATCACTCATCTCGCAGAGTAAGAAAACCTTATACAGGAATAATCCATTCAAAGTACAAATTAAATTATGGTTCCATGACCTTGACTATCTAAATAACAACAATGGTCAGGGCTAATTCTGTTTCTGGGGTCATCGTTTAAGACATCTGGAACTGTCTTCGGTGTCAAAGTTGAGATTTGATGGTTTAGTAACTGACAAAGCAGAGTTGTATCGGTACTTAGTAAGGTGATCCCTTTTGTACCATTTTCATAAACTATGACTTTATTTCTTTCCCCTTATACAGATTAAAGACTAAAACGAGATAATAACTTCATACCAGATCAGAACGAGGCGACGAGAAAGATGCACTTAATAACAGCAATCAAATCCCCTATCGCTCCGTCCTTCCCTACTCCCTTCCTCCATCTCTCAGACTGTGTAATGAACGCTCGCCCCTCTCTCGGACTTGAACTATCACTCACCCCCCCCCCCCCCCATTCTTCCATTTTGCCAATTGCTACCTCATGATTACCAGCAGACCCTGCTGAGCTGAACAGATTGGCTGGATAATTACATACAATAACGGCAGTGGGCAGGTACCCCTCAACTGGCATGGGCCAGCTCCCCGGTGGCACCTTCCATATGCAAACGGCATCTTGGGTAGTGCGAGGCGGGTGGAGGAAGAGGGGCTGAAGGGAGAGGGGAAGAGAGGGATGAGACCACCCCCTGCCATGAGAGCGGTGCGCTGATTGCGGGGCCGCGCCGAATCCAAGGTTACCGTGTCAGCAAATTTGTGATACATTAGCGAGGGATAAACACAGGTACTCAGACATGTCAGAGAAGAAGGATGAAGGAGAGGAGGGAGGAGAGAGGTAGAGAGGAGAGGAAGGAAGAGAGGAGGAGAAAGGTAAGATGGAGAGAGGCCATGAAAGAGGAGGGAATTGTGAGAAAAAGGCTTTTGAGATGGTTGGAGGAAACCCTGTGTGTAAGCCAGTGTAATGTAGAAATGGCTTTGATCAGTAAACGTGAAGGCTGTGTGTGTTTTGGGGGTAAAAACGTCAATAAGCAGCGGTCAAGGCACATCTGTTAAAAGCATCACACCTTAATTGTATTTGAAAATCAATGCACTTGGCAGCCATTCACACTAACCTGCACAATTAGTCTGGGATCGTGCTCGGGCATTCTTACATTTCAAATGGCTTTCAACAGGTAAACACATTAGGGGTGGTTAAAATGGGCTCTGTTTGAAAGGCCGGGCTTCAAACAGGTCTGGAGCGTGCCAGGTTTTAAACGCTGAGGCTACCATGACCGCACAGCAACATGTGTGTCTCGTAATGTGCTGGGCTGTGTGTGTACCGACCTTGGCAGAGGACAATGGCCTGGCTCCATTGCCGTTGACCGATGAGAACTCCAGCTTGTCGTCATCTTTGGCGCCTATTGACTTAAGCCCCGCCTCCAGAATGGACCGGAGCTTCTGATAGGCCGGCTTGTCTGTGTAGCTTAGAGTCTTCACTTCCTCCATAAACTTCTGAAGTTCATCTAAAAAAGGAGAGAAAATAATAGATATGGGGAATTTAGATTTGAGCCTTATATTTTAGGTCAGGAGTCCCCGCACCAAGCAAAGAATGAAAATAAAGTTGTATATGAGCTGCGGTGCTTAACCAAAAAAGTATGAATGAAGATCAATAGTAGAGACAGGGTGCACACCATGAAAATACAAGTTTGATATTAATAACATTTATTGAACTCAATAGTTAAGCCAGCCCGGGCGTTTCGGCTGCTGCCTTCCTCAAGGGATGCTGGTCAAAGCAGCACTATCTCAAGTATAGAAATAAAAAAAGTTTGATATAGATGTTCTATTTACAGTAATATCTACTGGGAGGGTCACATTGAGATTCAAGAATACATTTTAAGTGAGTCGTATCTACAATTCAAGGCAGCTAGCTGCAGAGTAGTTACATTTCTACAGTTCAATGTAGTAGACAGTAGAAAATAGTATGAGGCAATGAGCATCCATATGCATTTCTACCTTTTTCCAAGCTGCTCCAACAACATTGTGATAAAAACACAGTCATCCAATACAGAGAAGAAACAAAGTACCATATTGAACCAAAAATAGACAAACTAAGTCAAATCAACAATTCACAACCCTCACTGACGATAAACTAAAAAACTGACGCTCTGAACGGTTGTTATCTAGGTGTTAGTTACCACACTTCCTTCCTGTTACACTCCTTCTCTACTCTCATTCCTTTCTTCTCTGCTAATACAGCCGGCACTGGCACTTTGACCTTGGGGCTAAGTCAAGAGAGAGAGTGAGGAGGAGAGGAAGTGGCACGGTGCGTCAGCCCCTCTTCCTTCTGCTCCGTCGCTCCCAAACTGTTGTTTACCGTCTGGGCGCTAGCTAAAATAAGTCACACCAAACAGAATTAGTGATGATGGCGGACACAACAGAACCATGACGGCTCCACTACAGTCACCTCTCTCTCTGTGCTGTTGTGATGCGTTGTGTGTTGCTGTACGCACAAGACAACAGCCCGCGGAGAAATCTCTCCTTCTGTCACACGGCTGCCACAAAGCGCACAGAGCGGGCGCTGCCACATAGGGATCAGAGGAGAGGAGGCCGACAAGAGGAGGCAGAGAGGAGGGGGGAGGCAAGGCTCTGTCTTCAGGCTCTGGATTAAAGGAATAGTTAAACTCCCCAAGTCAAAGTTTGTTAAAGGCCCAGTGCAGTCAAAAACATGATTTCCCTTTGTTTCCACACTATGAAGTTGGAATAATACTGTGAAATTGTGAAAATGATGATAATGCTATTTTAGTGTAAGACCGCCTGAAATGTCAGCCTGTTTTGGTGGGATGGGGTTTTGGCCTGCCTGGTGACATCACCAGGTAGTAAATTAGTTAATAGACCAATAAGAAAGAGTTCCAAACCTCTCTGCCAATAACAGCTACTTTTCAGTTTTCCCCTCCCCACTCAGACCACTCCCAGACAGTCCTAGCAAAAGTCTTGCTTGAGAAATTGCTCTTAGCTAAGAAGCTATTTTCTTCTTCTTTTTGACCACAATTGAAAACAATCATAGTAAAGCACTTAATTGTTACCCAGAAATTATTTGATATTGAGATAAAAACGGCTGCATTGGACATGTTCCTACTTCAGATCGAAGTGGTCTTGCCGACTAGGCCCAATGGTCCATATTCTAAGTTGAACGATATGTAGAGCCAAATTAAATCTACAGGCCTCTATACCATACGAACGGCCCACAAATCGTTCAAAAATAAAAACATAGATATTTAACAAACCCTCAAAAAGTTTCTACAACATATTTGAAGTGTTTTCACTCCAAACGGCTAGCAAACACTCTAGCCGTCCCCCATACTGACTCTCACCTATGCTTCACACTAATGCACTCATCACATATGTAAGTTCACGGCTTCACAACAAAGTTAAAGTGGAAAGTTTTGTTGCGGTCGGAGAATTAGCGGTGGTGCTAATGAATTAGCACTCATTATGAGGGAATCAGCCGGTCCCATTATTATAGAGTGAACAGCCACTCTCCTCTCCGCTGTGTGTGTGTGCGCGTGTGATGAAGAAGTGCTTCAGTTCAATTAGGGCTGGTTGGGGCTGTGAATGGAGCAGAGGCACGGGATGTAATGTAGAGGGCTGAACTCACAACACAGGTGTTCTCAAGGACCACAGAGAGTCAGCCAGTTCAGCTAGCAATAATGACGTAACTGGCAAGTCTCCACTGCAATATGGACTTCAACATCCACACAAAAAGGAAACTGATACAAGGGACGAGTCCAACATAAAAAGAAGTGAAAAGATCCCCACCTGGCTTGTCTTGTGAGGAGAAACACTTAGACATGAACTCTGAGACGTTATCTCTGCATCTGTAATGGAAAAAATAGTTAGAACTGTTCGTGTGTTTTGCACATGCAGGTACACAACCGGTCAAAAGTTTTAGAACACCTACTCATTCAAGGGTTTTTCTTAATTTTTTACATTGTAGAATAATAGTGAAGACATCAAAACTACGAAATAACACATATGGAATCATGTAAGTAACCAAAAAAGTGTTAAATAAATCAAAATATATTTCATATTTGAGATTCTTCAAAGCAGCCACCCTTTGCCTTGATGACATCTTTGCACACTCCTGGCATTCTCTCAACCAGCTTCATGAGGTAGTCACCTGGAATGCATTTCAATTAACAGGTGTGCTTTCTTAAAAGTTAATTTGTGGAATTGCTTTCCTTCTTAATGCGTTTGAGCCAATCAGTTGTGTTGTGACAAGATAGGGTTGGTATACAGAAGATAGCCCTAATTGGTAAAAGACCAAGTCCATTTTATGGCAAGAACAGCTCAAATAAGCAAAGAGAAACGACAGTCCATCATTACTTTAAGACATGAAGGTCAGTCAATACAGAACATTTCAAGAACTTTGAAAGTTTCTTCAAGTGCAGTCGCAAAAACCATGAAGTGCTATGATGAAACTGGCTCTAATGATGACCACCACAGGAATGAAAGACCCAGATTTACCTCTGCTGCAGAGGATAAGTTCATTAGCGTTACCAGCCTCAGAAATTGCAGCCCAAAAAAATGCTTCACAGAGTTCAAGTAACAGACACATCTCAATAATAATAACACGTCTCTTTGTGAGACACAGTGTGGGTGAACGGATGATCTCTGCATGTGTATTTCCACCGTAAACAATGGAGGAGGTGGTGTTGTGGTGTGGGGGTGCTTTGCTGGTGACACTGTCTGTGATTTATTTAGAATTCAAGGCACACTTAACCAGCATGGCTACCACAGCATTCTGCAGCGATACGCCATCGCATCTGGTTTGGGATTAGTGGGACTATCATTTGTTTTTCAACAGGACAATGACCCAACACACCTCCAGGTTGTGTAAGGGCTATTTTACCAAGAAGGAGAGTGGTGGATTGCTGCATCAGATGACCTGGCCTCCACAATCCCCCGACCTCAACCAAATTGAGATGGTTTGGGATGAGTCGGACCGCAGAGTGAAGGAAAAGCAGCCAACAAGTGCTCAGCATATGTGGGAACTCCTTCAAGAGACTGTTGGAAAAGCATTCCAGGTGAAGCTGGTTGAGAGAATGCCAAGAGTGTGCAGAGCTGTCATCAAGGCAAAGGGTGGCTATTTGAGGAATCTCAAATATATTTTGATTTGTTTAACACTTTTTTGGTTACTACATGATTCCATATGTGTTATTTCATAGTTTTGATGTCTTCACTATTATTCTACAATGTAGAATAATGAAAAACCCTTGAATGAGTAGGTGTTATAAAACTTTTGACCGGTAGTGTACGTGGGTGACATTTACGTCATTTAGCAGACGCTCTTATCCAGAGCGACTTACTGTAGTTTTGAGTCTCTGACGTAGAGAGGGTCCTGCAGCTTGTCTTCCCAGGGCAATTTAGTACAGAGCCACTGGACCATACAGTACCCCAGGATCTCCAGATCACTCCTTCTACAGGGTGCTGTAGACATACAACAACATTTTCCCCACAGTTGAGTTGACCAATAGACACCAAACTCTGGACTTACACTTGCTGACATAATCAGCGATCAAGACGTTGAAATCTGCCCGCGTAGGTGTGCATTTCAGCAGTTTTGTTGTTAGCCAATGTCAAAGCATGATTGTGAGAGCAGCCCACCCCAATTGGCTGTCGCAAGGTTGCATAGCAGAAATGTGCATAAACGTGGGAATTTTTCAACGCCGCTCGCTAGCTCGACAAACATTTAGTGTCTTTGCATTTCCTCCTCCCATCGAAAATGACTGGTTGCTGGTAGCTAGGTCTGAACGGCAGGTTATATACACCTTAACTGCTGGTAGCTAGGTGGTGTTGATACAAGCAAGTGAACTCTTTTTAGACACTTGACCAGACAAATAATTCCAATAATTACATTTTCGGTTTCAAACCATTTCCACCCCCCATTTGCTCCCAAATGAACGTTCTCCTGGCTTGGCTCAGTCAGAGGTGAGGTGTGCTGTACTTACAGACTCCTTTGTGTGCGTCGATGCTGGTGAACTCGATGGTCCCGTCGTGGCACCTCTTAGGGTCCTCCTTGTACTCCTTCAGTATGCCTTCAGGAGAGTACCTATAGGCCAGCCCATAATCTACTAAATAAACCTATAGGTTTGCAAACAAAACAGACAAATTCATGCATGCACACACACTGACACATATCCAACCTAAGGAGTAGACATAACATGTGGCCTATAACTAGTATATTACTAATAAACTGTACATGTGTAGCAAGTTTCATGCTTTTATAAAAAAAAAAGTGGGGGGGGAAATTCACATACAGTATTACCTGGACTATAAGAATAAAATAGGGATCTTTCCCTTTCAATACGATTCCATACGTATCTAGATACATTGGCTCCGATACAGGAACGACACGTTATACAGTAGTTTGAAATGATTTGATGCGATTCGGTTTAATGTGATATGATGCACTAACATTTGTTGCATAAACATATTCATTTCCCATTCTAAATTTAAATCTGCTGCTGATGGAGCTCATCAGCTGGGCCACTCTGAGCTGGATCTGTCTAAGACAACTTCTGAGTCAACTGAGATGAGCCATAAGGGAGACTAGGCATCTACCACCCAACTATCAGATTAGATGGGGGGGACAATGTAGCCAGTTTTTTGTCTCTCCACTTTGGTTCTGAAATAACCCTCACCCACTAATGAAGTTGTCATTTTGGCAGATTAAGTGTTTAAGACAGTAATGTATCAATATTTATTGTTTACAAATTAGCCATGACATTGCCAATTAATTTATAGCACAATTTTGGATTTCACCCCATCTCAAAATCAAATGGTTTCGACAGTTCTGAAGTTTTTACAAAAGACAGATAACAATAACCTAGCAAATTACATTGATTGTCACTCAACTAATAAAGCCTAATATCAGGCAAGTCATTTTAGCACGTGAATGCTGATGGTGCCACGCAGACGTGCAAGATCAGGAACAGGCCGCCTACCTCGCGTTGGTCAGCGTGCAAAACTGGGCAGTGCGCAGTTTGACTAGGTTATTGATATTGCCTGGGGATGTTCGGCACGCATGCAAAATTACTTGTAGATCATTGACAGTCAACACAGTTACATGCAGTTGTCACAAAATATTAGCGGTATTTTCGGAAGGTAGAAAGAACGCAATATGAGCAACAACAAAATAATTGTGAACCCCGCTATTTGTAAAGTTTTAATGGATTTTCTGACCGATGCATGCTACATTTGGATAGGTTTGGGGTCCGCGGACCGATGGGATCAATGCGTATCGGTGAATCGTCACATCCCTACAACAAAGCATACAATACAAGTCATGGCTACAGTACAGTAGGTGGCTGCCTCGTTGCTCAAATCATCAGCTCCCAGAAAGTCAAACAAATGTTTCCAATAACTGCAGGGATGGGGGGAGAAGGCAGATTGAGAGAGAGCTAACCCTGAGACTCCCAAGGGGCCCCTTTCTAAATTGTCGTTTAAAAATAGCACTTTAATAACACACCACGGATACATTATTAATCTCTAAATTAAATATTTGCCCCTGCCCCCACCTTGTTTGCTTGAAAGAGATCTTAGCCGTCATCTAATCTCTCCCCTGTTTAGAGGAAGAATAAAGAACCCCCCCCATCACCCTCCTCTCTCTCTCATATGTTTAATTGAATCTAATGAACCAGTGGCAGGAGCATAATCAAATAAATAAATATATCCAATGTTTTTTTTCAATTTAGCTACATATCGGGTCAAAGGAATTACTTCACTTGAAGAGGTAGAGACAATAATTTGAAATCGTACCCAGACTGAGAAATAGGCTTCCCCTCTTAAACTGTAATCCACTACACACAAAGCTAGCTAGGCTACATAGCCCTATAATATAGTGTACCGTGTTTGTGAGCCATATCAGGACTAAAAGCTCCACTACATAAGTGTTTCCCAATCCATTTCCGGGGTACTAACACACCTGATTTAACTAAACTTAACATCAAGCCCTGGCTTAATAATTAGCTTAATCAGCTGTGTTAGCACTGGGCTAGACCAAAAATGTGCCCTTATAGGCCTATGTGCCCAGTCAATGCAGAGTGAATGGCAGACAGGTGGGACAGCCACTGACCTGATTGGGGTTGTTGTGGCTGAGGAGGAGGTTGGAGGCTTTGATGTCAGCGTGAACATACTCATGCTCATGGATGTACTCCAGAATGTCAAGCTACAGAAGAGAGGGGAGAAGAAAAGTCAACATATACAGTGGGGGAAAAAAGTATTTAGTCAGCCACCAATTGTGCAAGTTCTCCCACTTAAAAAGATGAGAGAGGCCTGTAATTTTCATCATAGGTACACGTCAACTATGACAGACAAATTGAGAATTTTTTTTCCAGAAAATCACATTGTAGGATTTTTAATGAATTTATTTGCAAATTATGGTGGAAAATAAGTATTTGGTCACCTACAAACAAGCAAGATTTCTGGCTCTCACAGACCTGTAACTTCTTCTTTAAGAGGCTCCTCTGTCCTCCACTCGTTACCTGTATTAATGGCACCTGTTTGAACTTGTTATCAGTATAAAAGACACCTGTCCACAACCTCAAACAGTCACACTCCAAACTCCACTATGGCCAAGACCAAAGAGCTGTCAAAGGACACCATAAACAAAATTGTAGACCTGCACCAGGCTGGGAAGACTGAATCTGCAATAGGTAAGCAGCTTGGTTTGAAGAAATCAACTGTGGGAGCAATTATTAGGAAATGGAAGACATACAAGACCACTGATAATCTCCCTCGATCTGGGGCTCCACGCAAGATCTCACCCCGTGGGGTCAAAATGATCACAAGAATGGTGAGCAAAAATCCCAGAACCACACGGGGGGACCTAGTGAATGACCTGCAGAGAGCTGGAACCAAAGTAACAAAGCCTACCATCAGTAACACACTACGCCGCCAGGGACTCAAATCCTGCAGTGCCAGACGTGTCCCCCTGCTTAAGCCAGTACATGTCCAGGCCCGTCTGAAGTTTGCTAGAGTGCATTTGGTGATCCAGAAGAGGATTGGGAGAATGTCATATGGTCAGATGAAACCAAAATAGAACTTTTTGGTAAAAACTCAACTCGTCGTGTTTGGAGGACAAAGAATGCTGAGTTGCATCCAAAGAACACCATACCTACTGTGAAGCATGGGGGTGGAAACATCATGCTTTGGGGCTGTTTTTCTGCAAAGGGACCAGGACGACTGATCCGTGTAAAGGAAAGAATGAATGGGGCCATGTATCGTGAGATTTTGAGTGAAAACCTCCTTCCATCAGCAAGGGCATTGAAGATGAAACGTGGCTGGGTCTTTCAGCATGACAATGATCCCAAACACACCGCCCGGGCAACGAAGGAGTGGCTTCGTAAGAAGCATTTCAAGGTCCTGGAGTGGCCTAGCCAGTCTCCAGATCTCAACCCCATAGAAAATCTTTGGAGGGAGTTGAAAGTCCGTGTTGCCTAGCGACAGCCCCAAAACATCACTGCTCTAGAGGAGATCTGCATGGAGGAATGGGCCAAAATACCAGCAACAGTGTGTGAAAACCTTGTGAAGACTTACAGAAAACGTTTACATTTACATTTTACATTTTAGTCATTTAGCAGACGCTCTTATCCAGAGCGACTTACAGTTAATGAGTGCATACATATATATATTTTTTCATACCCCCCGTTTGACCTGTGTCATTGCCAACAACGGGTATATAACAAAGTATTGAGAAACTTTTGTTATTGACCAAATACTTATTTTCCACCATAATTTGCAAATAAATTCAGTAAAAATCCTACAATGTGATTTTCTGGATTTTATTTTCTCATTTTGTCTGTCATAGTTGACGTGTACCTATGATGAAAATTACAGGCCTCTCATCTTTTTAAGTGGGAGAACTTGCACAATTGGTGGCTGACTAAATACTTTTTCTCCCCACTGTAAATATGAAACATATTATTTACTGAGATAGTAATGCATCGGCAAACAAAATGAGCTAGAATATTCTTAACACAACACTAAAGATATAGTCAATGAAATAAACAGCCAACATTTTTTATAGCGTGAATGAAATAAATCAATGCTTAAGTTGATGTTTTCTTGGCTCTATTATCTTTCGGCAGTTATGATGAGTAAACTCACGAGTCTCAGACCGAGCTGCAGGACCAGTTTTCGGGGGAACCTCCTCCCACTCTCCTCAAACTTCTTCTGCAGGTCTGTCCCAAACCGGTCCATCACCATGAACCTGTACCTGGGAGGGGAGGAAGCAGAGGGAAACAGATTCAGGGTGCATCCCAAATGGCACCCTATTCCTATAGCGCACTACTTTTGACCTGGGCCCATGGCACCCTATTTGGTGCACTACTTCTATGGCACCCTATGGCCCCTGGTCAACAGTAATGCACTATAAAGGCAATAGAGTGCCAATTGGGATGCACACAATCGCATATGTTAATCAATCAACATCACTTTCTTTGTAGCTGGAGAAGTAGGAGGTTGGTTAGACATTCATAAATGCATAACTTTATGGGTGTCTGTAAAGTATGCCAACTGCTATGTTGGTTCAAAGCAGTGTTGTCATGATACCAGAAGTTTTACTTCGATACCAGGTTTAGTATACCAATACTAGATACTATCACGATACTCAATACCAAAATGACACCATGGAGAATCAAGAAAGCGTATATGCCAAAGTCACAGAATGGCACTTGATCCAGACATATTTTTTGAGCTTAATATCATTACATTTAAAATGTTTGAATGTATGCATTAATGAATCAATGACACAATCATACAATCAATTTGACTTAGTAAAAAAATACAAATCTAAGTATATAACATAATGGTAATCATTTATTTGAATGGTAAATCTGTAGTCTATTGATTAACTGGGTAAATCAAGATGTAGCCTAGGCCTATTCACAATACAGGTGAATGCATATTAAATAGGAGTGTGTGCGTGCATTGAGTTATTGAGCTTGTTTTGGACTGATTTCATGGGCCTACAGATGTAAAACAATATTTCCGTTCCATTTGGGACTTATTTTATTGTACTGATCAACAACATTTGCATAAAAGAAGCAATATCTTATTTTATAAAAGTGTGTGCTGTCTCTTTAAGACCCATGATGTCATTCACACACAGTTCGAGGCTCGAACAAAGATGATCTTGACTGGGAGAGAAGTGAGGTTGGGGAGATGAAGTGAATGAATAAAGTTTTTGGTGACAATCTGCTTTGAAATCAGCAATATTTTGAGGACAGGGTAGAGCCAGCAATGAGTAAGTGGAGCAGGCACGGATTGCTAGTGCTATAAGTGGACATCGGCTGCGCTGATAGACATACTTGATCCTCTCTCGATCAGTAGATGACGTGAGACACATTTGACAAAAGTACAGAAAGTAACAAATTCTAGTACCAAACCGTTTTTCATGTTATAGTATTGAAAAAGTACTACGGTTTCGGTATACTGTGTAACACTAGTTCAAAGGTATTTAAATGAGACTGCCATCAAAGTATTGAAAGAACCAGGTTTAAAAGAGGCACTACTAAATACCTTTTCCCTCCTTTCTCATGCAGTCCGGACCCCCAGTACTTTGGCACTCCCAAATACTTCATTTTATGAGACTTCATCCAACTCTGAACTACAATACAAAAAAGGGTAGAACAATAACCTTTATGGAATAATGAGCAGTGCAACTATATAAGCCATACTACATATGAAAAACAGCAAAAGACAAGCCTAACAAAAAATTACAACATGCTAAAAGACAGTCACTTGTTACGGGTTAAACTATATGACTGCAAGTGAAAAATAACAGTAAGGCAAATCAAGATAGTACTATACAGCCTTCAAACAAATGCTTCTAAACACACTTCCTAAAACTTGGTGGTGGTGCTCAAAGTAATAAAAGCAGGGTAATCCCATGGGGGCAAGCCAGAGGCGGCCACAAGCTAATCTGCTACTGGGACAAATATTTACCAACAGACACCACCATATACCATGAATAAAATATGAGCCTTCGTTCCTTAGTAATATAACAGTTAATTGTCAGGGGAGATTGACATTTGGATTGTTATGATATAAAATGCAAAGTTGTGGCCTTGGGGCGAACACAGGAGCCAAAGGCACCATGTTGGAGAGAGAGGCCCTCACTACACGGCCCTACAACTTTACTTCTTTAATTAAGAAAGTTGTTCATTTCACTATTCGTGTTTGTTTGTTCCAGTGTTAAGGGACCGTGTGTGTGTGTGGGTGTGCGATCATGAGGGAGGGAGTGGTATGTGGTATGCATACTTAGATCCGGCTTGGCAGCTCGCATGTAGAACTTGAGCTCTGAGAACAGTGGTCCGTTGTCACTGGGCTCCTAGATTACGAAAAAAAAAACAGAGGACAGTTGACCAAACAGTACAGTTTTATGTCAAGTTTATGACATAATCAGGAGCATAAGATCACAGTTACAGTGAGGGAAAAAAGTATTTGATCCCCTGCTGATTTTGTACGTTTGCCCACCGACAAAGAAATGATCAGTCTATCATTTTAATGGTAGGTTTATTTGAACAGTGAGAGACAGAATAACAACAACAAAATCCAGAAAAACGCATGTCAAAAATGTTATAAATTGATTTGCATTTTAATGAGGGAAATAAGTATTTGACCCCTCTGCAAAACATTACTTAGTACTTGGTGGCAAAACCCTTGTTGGCAATCACAGAGGTCAGACGTTTCTTGTAGTTGGCCACCAGGTTTGCACACATCTCAGGAGGGATTTTGTCCCACTCCTCTTTGCAGATCTTCTCCAAGTCATTAGGGTTTCGAGGCTGACGTTTGGCAACTCGAACCTTCAGCTCCCTCCACAGATTTTCTATGGGATTAAGGTCTGGAGACTGGCTAGGCCACTCCAGGACCTTAATGTGCTTCTTCTTGAGCCACTCCTTTGTTACCTTGGCCGTGTGTTTTGGGTCATTGTCATGCTGGAATACCCATCCACGAACCATTTTCAATGCCCTGGCTGAGGGAAGGAGGTTCTCACCCAAGATTTGACGGTACATGGCCCCGTCCATCGTTCCTTTGATGCGGTGAAGTTGTCCTGTCCCCTTAGCAGAAAAACACCCCCAAAGCATAATGTTTCCTCCTCCATGTTTGACGGTGGGGATGGTGTTCTTGGGGTCATAGGCAGTATTCCTCCTCCTTCAAACAAGGCGAGTTGAGGTAATGCCAAAGAGCTCCATTTTGGTCTCATCTGACCACAACACTTCACCCAGTTCTACTCTGAATCATTCAGATGTTCATTGGCAAACTTCAGACGGGCATGTATATGTGCTTTCTTGAGCAGGGGGACCTTGCGGGCGCTGCAGGATTTCAGTCCTTCACGGCGTAGTGTGTTACCAATTGTTTTCTTGGTGACTATGGTCCCAGCTGCCTTGAGATCATTGACAATATCCTCCCGTGTAGTTCTGGGCTGATTCCTCACCGTTCACATGATCATTGCAACTCCACGAGGTGAGATCTTGCATGGAGCCCCAGGCCGAGGGTCTTTTGTGTTTCTTCCATTTGCGAATAATCGCACCAACTGTTGTCACCTTCTCACCAAGCTGCTTGGCGATGGTCTTGTAGCCCATTCCAGCCTTGTGTAGGTCTACAATCTTGTCCCTGACATCCTAGGAAAGCTCTTTGGTCTTGGCCATGGTGGAGAGTTTGGAATCTGATTGATTGATTGCTTCTGTGGACAGAGTGGACACTCCCTTTAAGAGTGTGCTCCTAATCTCAGCTCGTTACCTGTATAAAAGACACCTGGGAGCCAGAAATCTTTCTGATTGAGAGGGGGTCAAATACTTATTTCCCTCATTAAAATGCAAATCAATTTATAACATTTTTGACATGCGTTTTTCTGGAATTTTTTGTTGTTATTCTGTCTCTCACTGTTCAAATAAACCTACCATTAAAATTATAGACTGATCATTTCTTTGTCAGTGGGCAAACGTACAAAATCAGCAGGGGATCAAACACTTTTTTCCCTCACTGTATACTCATCCTGGAAACACTATGCATCATAGGTAGGCCTGGAGTCATGCAGGGTAGTCAGATTGAACGGAACACTTGAGTATATTGTCATGAACTGTACAGGCATAGAGTAAGGATGCTAAATATCTCCTTTGTCTTGCTTGTACAGGCATGAGATAGAACTGAGGCCAATCAGGCAATTATATACAAAGGCATGTGTTATCAAGCCAGAGTTGTCTTACCACTTTGATGACATATGGGGCACCAGCACCAACTGTTTTAGATGAATGCTCATCGGCTGTAAAACAATAACAGACCTCAGACTATCCTATAGTTTGAAAGGGAAAGGGCTGATAATACATATGCAAGACATACAGTAGTATTCCTGATCTTCTGAGGTCAGCGGATTAGGAATTCCCAATCAATAATCAATGAACTAGCCTAGATGTGTTTTATAACCCATGTTGCCATGCCTCTCTTACCTAAATAAAGCAGTCCGAAGCCGCCCTGTCCAATGGGGGCTCCCAGTTTCCAGGACTTCTTGCCAGTATCTGTAAGTACTTCTCCAGGCGGGAACTCCTCGGCAAGCTTCCTCTTTTCTGGTCCTCTGCCCTTCCCTGCTGCCTTGGCTTTAGGGGGCATCTGGAGGGACAGGATAGAGAATCTATGTAATCTAGCTATACATCTACCAGATGTAACAGTGCTTCATTCAACAAAACTATCTTGTCACTGCCAGCCAATAAGGTAGCCTGGCTCCTCCTAAACCATATAGCTAGTTATAAAGCTAGCAATGCCTTAATTTGACCGTCAACAACGTAAAGCAGTTGAATGTCTCAGTGAAGTTTGTATATGATGTGTAAACAGCATATCACATGATAGATCACTTGGGTTTTCAAATCGCTCTGGCAAGCGACTGAAAGAAGGTAACCACTAAGGTAGCTAGCACATTGATTGTTGCTGGCTCATAGAACTACCTAGCTAAAATAGATTATATATTCAAAAAGTATGTGGACACCCCTTCAAAATAGTGGATTCTGCTTTTTCAGCCACACCCATTGCTGGCAGGTGTCTAAAATCGAGCACACAGCCCTGCAATCTCCATAGACAAACATTGGCAGTAGAATGGCCTTACTGAAGAGCTCAGTGACTTTCAACGTGGCACCTTTCCAACAAGCCAGTTTGACAAATTTCTGCCCGGCTGGAGTGGTGTAAAGCTTGCTACCATTGGACTCTGGAGCAGTGGAAACGCGTTCTGTGTAGTGATTAATCACCATCTGGCAGTCCAACAGACGAATTTGGGTTTGGTGGATGCCAGGAAAACGTTACCTGCCCGAATGCATAGTGCCAACTGTAAAGTTTGGAGGAGGAATAATGGTTTGGGGCTGTTTTTCATGGTTTGGGCTAGGTCCCTTAGTTCCAGTGAAGGGAAATCTTAATGTTACAGCATAAAATGACATTCTAGACGATTCAGTTCTTCCAACTTTGTGACAACAGTTTGGGGAAGGCCCTTTCCTGTTTCAGCATGACAATGCCCCCATGCACAAAGCGAGGTCCATACAGAAATGGTTTGTCAAGATCAGTGTGGAATAACTTGACTGGCCTGCACTGAGCACTGACCTCAATCCCATCGAACACCTTTGGGATGAATTGGAAGGCTGACTGCGAGCCAACCCTAATCGCCCAACATCAGTGTCCGACCTCACTAATGCTCGTGGCTGAATGGAAGAAAGGCCCCGCAGCAATGTTCCAACATCTAGTGGAAAGCCTTCCCAGAAGAGTGGAGGCTGTTATAGCAGCAAAGGGGGTACCAACTCCATATTAATGCCCATGATTTTGGAATGAGATGTTAGACGAGCAGGTGTCCATATACTTTTGGTCATGTAGCTTATTAACATCAATCTAACCAGTTTCACGAATGGGGCGAGAGGGCTTTTCCTATTTAGCTAACGTTAGCTAGTTGGTAGCTAAATTTAGCGAACATAAACGCCAATATTGGGTAAACAAGCGTGCATCCGTGTGAAAGATTGGCAGGCAATTTCAAAAGCCAGCGAACATATAGCTAGTTAGCGTCACTATTTTGCTAACGACGTAGCTACATTAGTTAGCAATGGCCTGCTTCATTCTGATGAAGCCTTTGGATGATTAGATCGCAAAACCCAGCGTTTCCGTGATAATCGTGTTCCTAAACACGGTATATCAATATATCAAAACAACAAAGGCATTGCATTTCACAGGTTTACCTCGTTGACTTTGTTGTAATTTCCAAGTTATCCTCGATGCTCCTCAAAAATTCCCGCACTACAGTCCAACCGGAAATCGATGGCGCATGCTGCAACACTGCCCAACCCTATTGGTCAGAAACACGTTCTGACATTTGCATATTTACAGGGGTGCTGGGAAATGACGTTCTAAATCGAATGTGATTCTGATGCAGGTGCTGATGCTGAGGAGGAGATGGAGGAGGATAAAGGAGAAGAGGAGGAGCAGCAGCATATACCTCTATCTACATGCAAAAGTATAAAAATAAGCTGTTTTATATGTAATTGGATAGGTTTAGCAAAGGTAGTAGAGGTTGCAGGCAGTGGGAAGATACAAATGAGAAGTTGATCATTCTCATATTGTATGATATATATTATATATTGTATAATTCTCAATTATATTGTTACCTATTTTAAACAAGTTTAGCTTAATTATTATTGTACTTGTTGCTGGCCATTTGATAGCCTTGGAAAATATTGGGTTTCACTTGCATCAGAGGGCACGTGGCTCATCAATAAGATATGGGCACATGAGTAGCCCTATCTTGTTTCTAGCCTGAGCTTCTCTCCGGAAGTGTTGCAATGGGGACCTGAACTTTGGGAGAGTTTGAATCCTGCTGTCACTAGACGAGGATTTTATTCAATGCCATCGCTTTTATAACAAAACGTGTAGTTTGATGACCTGTGAGATACGCCTGTATAAAACAAGAATGGCCCTTGAGATGTCCAACGATAAACGGATAAAACTCGGAGCGCTCTGGTGACTCGAATCCAATTGCGCCCCTATCCAAAAAATATCCTCCCCAACCAGGAGATTCATACTGGACGTTTGGAAGCGGAACGAACGATGACTAGACGCAGTGACAGCGATAATGACGGAGAGACTTCGTCCCCGTCTCCGTCCTGGCGCCCAAAGAAATGTAAAGGTGAAAAGCATGTGTCTTTCCCTCCGGATGAGGAGATAGTGTCAGGCTTCGCTGAGCGCAAGGACACAAGCAATGGTAAGCTGATGTCCTCTACCTCTTCTCTCCCTTGATGGCTCTGAGGGAATAAGGTATACCTTTTAGGATTTGATATAGGCCCACTATCTTCTCAGAATCTGCACAAATGCACATAGGTATGGTATAGGCCTGTCGGCATAGGCTAATGTTGTTCTGTGTAGTGTGGAGGGCTGATGTAAGGTAGGCCTAGCACTAATCAGTTTCACACTCTGCTCATTGACATTTTACATGGTCTCAAGATCAAGTCTCCTGATTTGTATTCTGGCTCTCCCCTCTTTCCCTCCTTGATTTCCCCTCCCTCCTATATTTATTAGTGATTTGCATAAACATGGTAACCAACACATAATCACAGCAGTATCTCCTAGTGACCTAAATGTTTTGAAGTAAATAAATAAATTACTGTGGATATGTTTAATTAATGGCAAGGATTTAAGCATCCTGAGGCACACACACACACACACACACACACACACACACACACACACACACACACACACACACACACACACACATACACATACACATACACATACACATACACATACACATACACACACACAAGCACACATACACACTTTTTAAATCAAATTCAAGATAAGTGTTTTTATTGGTTTAGATGGAGCTGTCATTCTCTGGATATACCTACATGGTGTTTACAGAACCATTGGAATGACTATGGAGGCCTTTATCATGTTATGGTTTTAGTGATGAATGCTGTGAAATACATTGTTTGTGAGCTATATAACTTTAATGTGACACAAATGATGTATCAAGTTTGAGACAGTCAGTGAGTCAAGTGTTTCCATCTGCAAGTCCTATAGGCCTAGCTACATCTGTTAGGCTCACTCCATACGGCATATGGGATGAATTTGATCGCTTGATTGGTTGATTTATAAGGCAGATACTCATCCTCTCTGCCCTTCCCACTTCCAAATGACTGACATATTCTCCCTTCCCCACAGTCAGTCAATCAGAAGCATACAGGATGTATCCGAAATGGCACCCTATTCCCTATATATTGCACTACTTTTGACCAGAGTCCTATAGGCCCTGGTCAAAAGTAGCAAACTAAATAGAGAATAGGGTGCCGTTTGGGACGCAGAAACAGTTTACCATCCGTATGGCACTCTCCAGTCTCTCTAAGCACTTTGGAGTGGGAGCTCCCAGTTCATTGGGACAGAGAGACATTAGGGTAGGTAATGAGTGTATTCTTCTATTTTAGTTGACAGCCTCACCTTGGCAGAGGTAATTGAGGCCTACAAGAGGAGCTGCGACAAGCACCAGGTGGAACCTAAACCCAAGATTCTGGACCAACTTGAGGTACATTCCACAGAGATCCTATTAAAAGATGAGTTCTATGTAATTCTATGGTACATTCGTAGAAAATATGCTTCTAGAACCAAGACTGCTTCAAAGTCATATTTCATACATATGGTCCCTAAAATCATATATTTCAACCCATTTCTGGCAGTAATTGAAACCCGTTTTGGGGTCTTTTTAACCCTCCCAAAATCATTTTTTTTTTTTTACAGTATACAGTACATGTTGCACTGTGGTACATTAGTAGTGAAAAAGAAAGACAAATCTCATCAGTTCAAATCGGTATACTACCCAGTGATATGAATAATCTCTGACTATACTGCTTTGTGGTGACAGGATAATTTTTTTGTGTAATAAGACAAGATTTTACTACAGATAGGCAGAGATACTGTGGTCCCTTGGCTTTATAGCAAACAACCACAGTAGTAGAAACGCACAGTGTGACTGCACATATTAAAATTCCAAGGGTAATTTGGATCAGTTCGTTCAATCAGCCTCAATCAGGCTTATTGCACAAGAAATTAGAACTGCATCTCTAGTGCAAACAAGAAGCTAAGAGCATGTTAACTACTACATTGGATTTAAGTTAGAGGTTTTGTAAATAATAGCACAGCTGTAAACAAAAACAAATAAACATGGGCTAGTGCGGGTGTACAAACACAAACACACACAACTAGTATGCGCGTGTAACAGACGCACGTACGTACACACACACACACACACACACACACAAACTCCGAGATGTATAATTTATTTTATGTACTTACTTATTTTACTTGGACCAGCCATGTTAAGAACATCAGTTTCCCTCCTGCATAAATTTAAGATTAGATCAAGGAGAATAATTTGTTGGAAATTAGAGACTTAGTAGTGCTTATATTAAGCACACACACTCACACATACACACACTGTATTATCTTGGACGTACTAATGAACCCAATTGCTTTTGAAATGAATGTAGGTGGTCCTCCTAAAAGAGTAGAATATGTATGGTTAAGGAGTAGCTAAGAGGATAAATATTTAGCCGAGAGAGAGAGAGAGAGAGAGAGAGAGAGGGCTGCGAGTGAATTCATAATAAGAGTATGCAAAATGAGAGTGTGAGCTTAAAGAGCATATTTATTAAATTAGGTATTTTCAGGCAGGGTAATCCCCCTGAGGTTGGCCGTTGAAGACTATTTAAAGCTTTTATTGTACCCGTGGGCTTTCGCTGTTTCTTTGAAATGTTTTAAGTGGATAAAACAGTATTGCTTTTGGTTACATCTTCATAAACAATAATGGGTTTCAGCTCAGGGCCCAAGGCTGCCTTAGTTAAACACAGACTCTCTTACTCTTTCATTTCATTTTCCCTCTGAAGTCTGGAATTTCATGAAGCTTTATTTTCTGGGTTAGATCCTGTGATTATGTACATAATTCTGATAAGTCCTATCAACATAGTTAAGCCCTATTTAGGCATGGGGGGAGAGGTTAACTTCTCAAAATTCTGCAATCATTCCGATTCAAATTGAGACACTTGACTTTGACATGAAGGACTGTTGTAATTTTTTGTTTGAATGGCCCAACGGCAGCCATTTTTACATCAATAAAGTACCTTACTCTAATAGATTTCCATTAAAATTTAGAAGAAAAAAAAAACGATTTCTCAAGCAATAATTTTGCTAGGGCTGTCTGGGAGTGGTCTGAGTGGGGAGGGGGAACTTAAAACTAGCAGTTATTGGCAGAGAGGTTTGGAACTCTCTTTGTTATTGGTCTATTAACCAATTTACCGCATGGTGAAGTCACCATGGATGCCGAAAATCCTGCCCATGCACACCTGATGATTAGAAAGTCCTGTGTAGATTGTATTTTCAACCAGCAACTATCAGGAAATAACACTGAAGACATTTTTTCTCACTTTTACAGTGTTAGTAGTTTCATCAGCTGTTGTACAATATGATACAAAACACAGGAAAAACAGAATGTTGACTGCACTTGGCCTTTAAAGTATGATTTGTTTACTTTTATGTTCATTAATTTCAAAAGCACCTCCGATTTTATTAGTGTTCTGTATTCATTTGGAGCTCTCACCTACAGTACAAGGGTGAAATTCAGAAATGTTTTAATATGATTCCAAAATACTATAAGACTCTAATCACATTGACCTAAATAGGATTTAGTATTCTCTCTGGGTTATAGGCACCAGGTGGAGTAGCCTAAGCTAGGAATTAGTTGCTTGTTGTTGAATCATTTAATGAATAGATATCGGATATTTCTCTTGCAGATTTTTCAGTTGAGTGGACTGAGGAGAAATCAATTACCTCGACATAAATTCCCTATTTATTGAAGGATGAATTATCCCTCCCAGTGCAAAGCTGCCAACGTGACATTTTACTGCTATTAAATTCATAAGGTCACATTCAATTCACAGAAATGTAGTTTTTTTTTTGTGTGGCTAAATCCTTCTAAGACAAAATCCCCCCTAAGGAATATAAAGACAAGAAAAAATATTTGTGCATTAAATGCAAACCCTGCTGGTTTCTCATTCTTTTGATTAGCATTAATATTGCTCTGCTATAGTGGCCTACCTACGGTACGGTAGTGTTACAACATGATCCTTGGCTGCTGCCAGCCAGTGTGCCTTTCACAGCACACAGAGATACCTCTCTCTCTTTCTCACCACATGTAATTCTAAAGAAAACACATAAAAAAAGGGAATAGGCAGATGAGAGGTAAATGTCACTAAGTAAGTGCTGCACTATTTCCAAGGCTGTTGTTAGTGCTGCACTATTTCCAAGGCTGTTGTTAGTGCTGCATATGCAAATAAAAGCTGAGACAGGAGAAAGGGATTTGAATGTTTCCGACTGAATGCAGGCTTATCAAAAAACAGCAGGGGAACCGGACATATGTCTCCTCGCTCATTACAACACAGACAGCGATAAGAGGGGATGCTTACTGGGGCAATGCCCTAACCACAGCTATCTGAACGCAGGAGTGTGAGAGCCTGAAGAGAAGAGGGCTTCCTTTCCTTAGCTTGGCTGGATGCCATTGGGAACCTACACAGGCTCACACTCAAGATTGTCATTTGGTAAACGCTCAGACAAACTTTCACTAAAACATCCTTTATTTAGAAGTGAAAGGATTGGTGCCTCCTCTCAATATACATTTTAATTTGAGAGGAGACCTTCTAATATGGTTCATTTTGGTTTAAGTAAAATCTAATCAACAGTGGACAAAATAGCTATGAAATAAGTAACCTAAAATGATTTGTAGTAGTATTAGTCCTATTTTGGAATAAAAGCAGTATTAGTATTAGTGATTATTGAATTTATTAGCAGTTGTCATATTGCTGTTGCAGCAGCACCATCTTGATAAGATCTGACATATCCAGCGATCAGGCATAGGTTTTGTAAATAGCTTACAGTGGCTTGCGAAAGTATTCACCCCCCTTAGCATTTTTCCTATTTTGTTGCCTTACAACCTGGAATTAAAATGGATTTTTTGGGGGGTTTGTATCGTTTGATTTACACAACATGCCTACCACTTTGAAGATGTAAAATCTTTTTTATTGTGAAACAAACAAGAAATTAGACCAAAAAAAACATTTTGCAGCAATTACAGCTGCAAGTCTCTTGGGGTATGTCTCTATAAGCTTGGCACATCTAGCCACTGGGATTTTTGCCCATTCTTCAAGGCAAAACTGCTCCAGCTCCTTCAAGTTGGATGGGTTCCATTAGTGTACAGCAATCTTTAAGTCATACCACAGATTCTCAATTGGATTGAAGTCTGGGCTTTGACTAGGCCATTCCAAGACATTTAAATGTTTCCCTTTAAACCACTCAAGTGTTGCTTTAGCAATATGCTTAGGGTCATTGTCCTGCTGGAAGGTGAACCTCCGTCCCAGTCTCAAATCTCTGGAAGACTGAAACAGGTTTCCCTAAAGAATTTCCCTGTATTTAGTGCCATCCATCATTCCTTCAATTCTGACCAGTTTCCCAGTCCCTGCCGATGGAAAATCATCCCCACAGCATGATGCTGCCACCACCATGCTTCACTGTGGGGATGGTGTTCTCGGGGTGATGAGAGGTGTTGGGTTTGCGCCAGACATAGCGTTTTCCTTGATGGCCAAAAAGCTCAATTTTAGTCTCATCTGACCAGAGTACCTTCTTCCATATGTTTGGGGAGTCTCCCACATGGCTTTTGGCGAACACCAAACGTGTTTGCTTATTTTTTTCTTAAAGCAATGGCTTTTTTCTGGCCACTCTTCTGTAAAGCCCAGCTCTGTGGAGTGTACGGCTTAAAGTGGTCCTATGGACAGATACTCCAATCTCCGTTGTGGAGCTTTGCAGCTCCTTCAGGGTTATCTTTGGTCTCTTTGTTGCCTCTCTGATTAATGCCCTTCTTGCCTGGTCCGTGAGTTTTGGTGGGCGGCCCTCTCTTGGCAGGTTTGTTGTGGTGCCATATTCTTTAATAATGGATTTAATGGTGCTCCGTGGGATGTTCAAAGTTTCTGATATTTCTTTATAACCCAACCCTGATCTGTACTTCTCCACAACTTTGTCCCTGACCTGTTTGGAGACCTCCTTGGTATTCATGGTGTCGCTTGCTTGGTGGTGCCCCTTGCTTAGTGGTGTTGCAGACTTTGGGGCCTTTCAGAACCGGTGTATATATACTGAGATCATGTGACAGATCATGTGACACTTAGATTGCACACAGGTGGACTTTATTTAACTAATTATGTGACTTCTGAAGGTAATTGGTTGCACCAGATCTTATTTAGGGGCTTCATAAAAAGGGGGTGAACACATATGCATGCACCACTTTTCCGTTATTTATTTTTTAGAATTATTTTAAACAAGTTATTTTTTCATTTCACTTCACCAATTTGGACTATTTTGTGTATGTCCATTACATGAAATCCAAATAAAAATCTATTTAAATTAAAGGTTGTAATGCAACAAAATAGGAAAAACGGCAAGGGGGATGAATACTTTTGCAAGGCACTGTACATTTCAAACCAAACGGTTCCCATCGGAGTCAATTCTGTCATCTGTGTACCCATCTCTCTCTCTCCCTCTCTCCATCTCTCCTTCTTGTGCTCTCTGTCTCTCTCCCTCTCTCTCTGAGCCTTGTACCTCAGCATCACTCAGCGTCCATCAGAAAAGCACAGCGTCTCTGATATGCAATAACCCTCTGTCTGCCCAGCGATACGATACAGACTCACTCATATCTAAACACCATCCAGTCTAAATAACTTCCCATGCAGACTTTTAAACTTTAATGTGTAGTAACACACCCTCTGGACCTTACTGATACATACACATACACACACACACAGAAGCACACACACACACACGGAAGAGCAGAAGCATGCAGAGGCAGGGGTGAATATAAACATTATATTTGACATCTAGCATTTAGGGATACAACACACAGGTACTTTACATGAAAACTCATTCATAATGTCACCAAATGCACTATCATACATCCATCATTACAGATGAACAAAGACAGTGGGAAATATTTTCAAAGTCAATTAGAATTTTGTGTACTGTACGTTACATTTTTAAAATGATAAATTAAGTTACTAATATTTTCTATGCTCTTTCTAGACACTGCAGGTTTAATTGTGAACTGGGAATGAATACATTTGCACATTAATTAGCTCCCAATTTACATGTTTTATTTGCTGCCTTCAAAGGGTGTGAGATAAAAGGTTGTGTTATATTAAATAATTTATCCTTTATTGCAGAAAAGATGCTGAATGGAAAATGTGCGGGTGATTTTAACCCCTAAGAGCTTTAACTGTAGAAAAGTTTTCCAAGTAATTAAATGAGTAAAAAAAAAAAGTGAAACATTTGTTAATACAAAGGCAGAGCACAGGACTAGGAGTCCTGGACCGACGATGGAGTGTGAATCCACCAGAGATTACTTCGCTAGAAGTCAAGTTTATAAACCATATCCCTCTCTGCCTGGGAAAGGGAAAGCTTTTCTTTTTTTCACTCCATTTTGTCCCTCTCCCTCCTGACACATCAATAGATTTGGCACTCGGTCCCTTCGTTTTTCTCCTCCTCACTAGGCAGCACATCTCAGCAGCAGAGCAACAGGGAAAAGGAAGGGAGCTCACAAGTTCAGAAATTCATTAAGATGAAAAAAAAGCAACTACTGGATGTGTGTGTGTGTGTGTGTGTATGTGTGCACGCTCGCGCTTGCACTTATGTGGTTGTTTGTGTGATCGGTGGGGTGTGCCGGTGGTTGCACGGCCTCAAATTATTTTACTGACATTTGTCACATCTCTGTACTCTATCCCAAACAGAATATATACAGTATATTGACTGACCACACCGTATAATACTTTCATGTCTCATGCTCATCAATAAAATCCTCTCTTCAGGTTACTCTGCTAATAACTCAGATGAGATGCTATCATAAAGTAGAACAATATCATAACTCACACTGCTATAATGTTATATTAGAGTTTTTAATGAATTGATATGCATGCTCTGTTTTGTGGTGGTGGTTCCTCTATAAATAAAATATGGATATTTCTCAGAGGGATACACACTTCAGAGACAGACAGAGAGGGAGTACTGTTTCAGGGCATAGCAGGCCTACATGATGCTGTTCATTCCAGGCTCTAACCTATTAGACTGCATGCTGTGTGTGTGTGTGTGTGTAGCCTTGTCTGCCCCTAACATTGTCTTTGTCACAATATATGTTGTACTTTCTTTTTAGGCGAATTTAACACGTGTGTTTCTGCACACTGATAATTTCAAATGAAATGTATAATTACAACAAATAATAAGCCTCTATTTACAAAGTGTAATTTATTGATGTTTTATTGATTAATGTAGTTTGGTTCTGACTGAAAACATTTTTAGGGGGTCTATTGTCTCTCCTCCCTGCTCCTAGACGGAAAAATATAGGAAATAATTCCTTCAAGTTATTTTGTACTCTCATGTCCTTTGAACAATGAATCATATTTAAGGATGAAATAAAACAGGCAGTATATGAGAATAAGCTGGTGGCATCTTCACACAGTGGGATTTGGCAGAGAGAGAGAGAGAGAGAGAGAGAGGAGAGAGAGAGAGAGAGAGAGAGAGAGAGAGAGAGCGATAGAGATAGAAGAGAGATACGAGTCTCTAGCCTTCTAGCTTCTCTCTCTAGATCTCTCTCTCGACTCCTCTATATTTCTCTCATCTGCTTCTCTCTCCTTCTCTCTCTCTTCTCTCTCTCGTCCTCTCTCGCTCTCTATTCTTTCATTATTTTTCATCTGCATGTAAGGAGGGATTCTCGCTCCTTCGCTGTTCTGTTCTGGTTGTCAGGAGAATAAAAGATTACAGTTTCCACTATCCATGCAATTATGTCACCTTTGGAGATTGATGTAGTCAAATTAGATGTATGTGGAACAGTGGCTTGGCAAATGAACGCCTCAACAGATGACCAGCTGTTGCTAATTAATATACACTGGTTAATTAGGACATGGTGTTGCCATCAACAGTAAACTGTGTGAAATCCATAATTCATGCTCTCACATTGCTGTTGTGGTGGTGGCAGTGGAAGCTAGAGCTTCTAACTCTGAACAAACAAGTCAGAGAGCCATGGAGGAGAAGCCTCGTGTTAGAGAGGTACATTAACTGTATTGTTTCTGTTAATGAGAAATACTTCTCTCTCTCTCTCTCTCTCTCTCTCTCTCTCTCTCTCTCTCTCTCTCTCTCTCTCTCTCTCTCTCTCTCTCTCTCTCTCAGCAGGTTACCAGTTTAAATGGCAGGGCCCCATGTCTGGACTTGAAAGGTAAGCTAATGTAAAAGTTTTGTTATAATCCCCTCAATACTTTATTTACGACATAGGGTATGATTCATACGATATTGTATACAGTGAGTGGTATGGTGCTTGTTGAATGTAAAATGAATGACTATTACAACCATTACAACAGTGCAAGATTGCAATATTACAACACTAGAAAGTTAGTAGCCCTACAGACATCACATTCCAGTACATTATACATATTATTTCTAAGTGGCCATTGGTTTACTATAACATACATTTACAGTACCAGTAGAATTTAATCAGTCCGCTGATGCTGTGAAGCTTCAGTTTGGGGTTAACCCCTGCCCCCCTTTGATGAGTGAAACAGGAGAGCTGCCACCCCAGTGGGGATGTGTGATTCCAACATGGGGTCATCTTGTCGTCGTCCCCCCCGCTCAGTTGTCATGCTCTGATGACATCACACTGGGGTGATGACACCCTGCATTAGTTATTATCTTCCCCAACACAGAGGGGATTTCTGTTCCTCCCCTTCCTTGCAGTTTCCCCTGTTCCTATGGTACAGTTAAGTGATTATTGTTAAAACATCATTTTTTTTTTTTTACAAATGATTATGCTAATGTTGAATAAATGAGGATATGTGTGACTGTGAGCTGTGAGACAGCGATGTGCTGTTTGCTCCCTCCCTTTGCGGTCATGGAGATAAGAGTTTATAAGGAGAAGGAAGGAAGGAGCTAGGGCCTCTAATAGAGGTGGACTGATGCTGCGGCCATCAAAGTCTCTCTCTAGGCTTTGTTTAAAAGTCATCTGGTGTTGAATAATCAGATACCCTTTGATTCATGACTGGGAGGGAGGGAGGGAGGAGGGAGGACAGTGGAGGGGATCTTGTTAGAGAGAGAACGTCTTTCGCCTTTTAACTCTGAGTCATCGCATCACACTGTGCACTAACTACCAGTCACATAATCTGTGGAGACACTTTTCTTCCCTCAGAGCTTACTGTACTACTTTAATTCAGAAAGTAAACACTTGCACAGATAAATTAGATGATTTAAATTTTCTAAAGGAGGGGTAGGAGGGGAAGGTTGTTTTGTGTGCTCTAGCCTCCCTGAGTTTCCTAAAATTCCAATCACAAAATAACATTGACTCCTGACTGGGGACATGGCAATCTGACTGTTAGCAAACAGTCCCAATTATCTTCTGTTTGATTGCTTTCTCTACTCAGGTGAGCGATTAGACCATCTTTCCTGCGAGGCTCTGGAAGTCATACTGAAATCACTGAGCTTTGATTTCATCAATCTGCAAGCGGCAGAGCTGGAGGAAAATGTGAGTTTTATGAGCAAAAACTTTATTTTTTCATTTTTACTTTCCAATTGGGTTTTGTATTCAGCTGTCCCTGTGTATCGGATTTTACTCTCCATCAAAGGAACTGGAAACTCCATTACTATGTTGCTGTTGAATTTAAACCTCGCTCCTACTTCTTTTTTTCGTCCAGGGAGCCTCATCCTTGCTGGATATGGTTTTGTATTATGAATCTACCCCCCATCTTGACATCTCTGACAACACCAGCATGGGGATATCTGGTTGGAAGGCCCTCTCTCATTTGATAAAGCAGGTACATGTAGTTCAGTGTAATCTGTTTCTGTGTATGGATTTAGGCCAGGGGTGAGAGAGTGCATACTGTAGTCTGGTTTTAGGAAGAGAGGGAGTGTATTCTAGAAGTAAGACGGGTGAGTATTGAGGGCAAAATAAAGTCTATTCAAGTTCAGCAGTTCCCAGAGAAGCTGCTTAGCTTTGTTGGCTAACACACACATGTACATGCACTCACACACATATGCACTCGCATGCACGCACGCACACACACACACACACACACACACACACACACACACACACACACACACACACACACACACACACACACACACACACACACACACACACACACACACACACACACACACACACACACACACACACACACACCATTGCCCCCAGTCAGTACCTCAGACTTCATTACCATGGGCATCTGATTAGCTAGCAGAGCCAGGAGAAATGATCCTGCGGATCCCAAATGTCATTTCTGAAGGCCTGCCTGCCAGCCTGGTTGGGTCCTTGGGGTGATAAACCTCTCAGGGCCCAGGGCAGGACTCAAAGTATGCAGGGAAAATCTTCCCAAGAATCTTATGTTAGCTGACTGTGTCTGAGCGACAGACAGACAGACAGACAGATGAGGGATCTATAAAAAATAAGCCCAGATGACACCTCTTCCATTCCTTAGAGTTTCAGAGTGCTGGATAGAATGGGATAGTTATAGTGTAAATTTACTCCAACGTTTGTTCAATTAGTGGTAGTTCTTAGATGAAACAGAAGTGAGGTTTTGCCTCGTGGTGAAATGGACTTCAAGGTTGAGACCAAAAGCCAGCTCTTAGGCAGTATTACGCAAGATCAATCAAAATCACCTTGGTGTAGAGAGAGAGATGGAGGATGCAGCAGGAGAGAAAAAATCTGGACACGTTTGATGTGCCGACCAGATGGACGGAGAGATGGCGGGAGGGATGGAGACTAACAATGGCCCCCAGACCTGCCGCTCTCCCTCCGTCACTCAGGACTGTTTTCTTCTCTTCCTTTTTTGATATTCCCCCTCTCCTCTCCTCCTTCAGACAGGCTAGTGTTTGATGAGGAGAGGTGATGCATGGAGGCCAGTCCACACCAGGGGCACAGCCTTTCAGCCACACTCTCTCCATCCCCCTCTCTGTCACTCTCTCCACCTCTCTCTTTCTGTCAGTCAGTGTTGTTTTGCCTTACTGGCATTCTCCTCAACTCTAGTGTTTGAAGGTGAGGTACAATATGGAGTTCAGTCCACACTTAGGGCACGGCCTAGCCCTTCAGCCTCTCTCCTTCACTCCCTCCTTTTTCTGACAGGTTCTGGAAGTGTTTGATCAGAAGTGAGGTACAGAGGCCAGTCCATAGCCTAGCATCTCAGACCCTCACTTTATCTTACTCTTCTCTCTCTGCCCCTGACATACCCTGGCCTTCCCTCCATCTCTGTTTTCCATCCCCTCAAAGTTTTTCTGACTTTCTCTCCCTTTATCTTTGTCCTGTAGCCCCCGTCCATCTCTCTCTTTCTCCCCCCCCCCCCTCTATCTCTCCCCACTCCTCTCTCTCTCTCTCTGTCCCCCGCCCTCTCTCTCTCTCCCGCTCGCTCTGATGAGATCCTTGTGTTTGTCTCTCTGTAGAGTGTGTGTCTGGTGAGGCTGGATGTATGTAATGTGGCCCTGCTGCAGTATCCAGCCCAGGTCCTGTCAAGAGCCCTCCTCAGAAGCAGACTCACCGTGCTGCACCTCCAAAGCACCTGCCTCAGCGGCAGACCCCTCTTCACGCTTGGTATGCCCTGCACGTATGCATGAACACACACACAGCTTTGTTTTAGAGAATTTTCAGGACTTTTTGGGGAGTAGAAATGTATTCCCATTCAAAAACCTATTTTCCCTAACCCTAACCTTAACCCCTAACCCTAACTCCTAAACCCAAACCTAACCCTAAAATAGCATTTAAACAAATTCAGGACATGAAAAAAAGTTCTTGTTTTCCTACCTTGTCAGGACATTCTGGTGACTTGTCAGGACATTGTGGTCCTGATAAGGTAGGAAAACATGTACACACACACACCGTCTTGTACAACTAACCTTGTGGGGACACACAATTCAGTCCCATTCAAAATCCTATTTTTCCTAACCCTAACCCGTACTCTTACCCTAACCCTAAACCTAACCTTAACCCTAACCTTAACCTGAAAACCTAACCTTAACCCTAACCTAACCCTAGCTCCCAACCCTAGCTCCTAACCCTAAACCTAATTCTAACCCTAACACTAATTCTAACCTTAACCCTAAACCCCCTAGAAATAGCATTTGACCTTGTGGGGACCACAAGTATAGTTAAGCACGTCCACACACACACACACACACACACACACACACACACACACTCACACACACACACACGATCTGTTCTTTCTGAGTTCTTCCTCATGGCCTGATAGGGCTCAGTAGGACCTCCCGTGTGTGTGTGTGCACGTGTGTGTATTTGTGTGTGCGTGACTGCATATGTGTGTTTGTGTGTGTCTGTGTGTATGCGTGTGTCTGTGTGTGCGCTCGGTGTTGTCCGTGCTCGGCCGTGGCCAGCAGGAACAGATGACAGAGGACAAGGAGCGGAGGAGCAGATTTTGGCCCTGTGACCCTCACAGTGGGACTGGCCCGGGATTAGATGTCCTAATCTTCAGCCTGTCACTTTACACACCACCGCACCGATCCACACAGTCACCGAGGCCAGAGACACTATCCTCTCTACCCAGGACTTTCTGTAGCCAGGTACGAGGACCAGTAACCAGGCCTCAGAACAGTTATTTAACCAGGCACCAGGTCTTTCACCAGAGATGATACACCAGGTGTGTCAAACTCATTTTGCCTCGCATTTGGTCTTCACCGAGGTACAATTAATTATATTTCCTCGCTGTCAAAATGTGCAAAAAATAGTACTTTATCCATTGCTTTTTTTCCTCTACACCCCCCCCCCCCCCGTTCCTCCTCAGAACAGCCTCATTTCATCGGGGCATGGACTCTACATGGTGTCGAAAGCATTCCACAGGGATGCTGGCCCATGTTGACTATAATGCTTCCCATAGTTGTGTCAAGTTGGCTGGATGTCCCCTTTGGGTGGTGGACCATTCATGATACAAACGGGAAAAAACACTCTCTCAGAACAGCCTCATTTCGTCGGGGCATGGACTCTACATGGTGTCGAAAGCATTCCACAGGGATGCTGGCCCATGTTGACTATAATGCTTCCCATAGTTGTGTCAAGTTGGCTGGATGTCCCCTTTGGGTGGTGGACCATTCATGATACAAACGGGAAAAACACTCTCCTCAGAACAGCCTCATTTCGTCGGGGCATGGACTCTACATGGTGTCGAAAGCATTCCACAGGGATGCTGGCCCATGTTGACTATAATGCTTCCCATAGTTGTGTCAAGTTGGCTGGATGTCCCCTTTGGGTGGTGGACCATTCATGATACAAACGGGAAAAACACTGCAGCGTTGCAGTTCTTGACACAAACCGGTGCGCCTGGCACCTACTACCATACCCCGTTCAAAGGCACTTAAATATTTTGTTTTGCCCATTCACCCTCTGAATGGCACACATACATAATCCATGTCTCAAGGCTTAAAAATCCTTCTTTAACCTGTCTCCTCCCCTACATCTACACTGAATGAAGTGAATTTAACAGGGGACATCAATAAGGGATCATAGCTTTCACCTGGATTCACCTGGTCAGTCTGTCATGGAGATCTCAGGTGTTCATAATGTTTGTAGACTCAGTGTATACAGTACATTCAGAAAGTATTCACACCCCTGTACTTTTTCCACATTTTGTTGTGTTACAGCCTGAATTTAAAATGGATTACATTGAGATGTTGTGCTACTGATCTACACATAATAACCCATAATGTCAAAGTGGAATTATGTTTTTAGAAATGTTTACAAATGAATTAGAAATGAAAAGCTGAACTGTCTTGAGTCAATAAGTATGTAACCCCTTTGTTATGGCAAGCCTATATAAGTTCAGGAGTAAAAATTTGCTTTACAAGTCACATAATAAGTTGCATGGACTCACTCTTTGTGCAATAATAGTGTTTAACATAATTTTTTAATGACTGCCTCATCTCTGTACCCCACACATACAATTATCTGTAAGGTCCCTCAGTTGAGCAGTGAATATCAAACACAGATTCAACCACAAAGCCCAAGGAGGTTTTCCAATGCCTCACAATGTAGGGCACCTATTGGTAGATGGGTAAATAAAAAAAAAGCAGACATTGAATATCCCTTTGAGCATGCTGAAGTTATTAATTACACTTTGGATGGTACACCCAGTCACTACAAAGATACAGGCGCCCTTCCTAACTCAGTTGGCGGAGAGGAAGGAAACCGCTCAAGGATTTCACCATGATGCCAATGGTGACTGTAAAACAGAGTTTAATGGCTGTGATAGGAGAAAACTGAGGATGGATCAGCAGTATTATAGTTACTCCACAATACTAACCTAAATGACAGAGTGAAAATATGTAAGCTTGTACAGAATAAAAAATATGTTTGCAGTAAGGCACTAAAGTAAAACTGCAAAGAATGTGGCAAAGAAATTAACTTTATGTCCTGAAAACAAAGTGTTATGTTTGGAGCAAATCCAACACATCATTGAGTACCACTCTTCATATTTTCAAGCATGGTGGTGGCTGCATCATGTTATGGATATGCTAGTCGTCGGCAAGGACTAGGGAGTTTTTTAGGATAAAAATAACCAGAATAGAGCTAAGCACAGGCAAAATCCTAGAGGATAACCTGATTCAGTCTGCTTTCCAACAGACATTGGGAGACAAATTCACCTTTCAGCAGGACAATAACCTAAAACACAAGGCCAAATATAAACTGGAGTTGCTTACCAAGACGACATTGAATTTTCTTGAGTGGCCTAGTTACAGTTTTGACTTAAATCGGCTTGAAAATCTATGGCAAGACTTGAAAATGGCTGTCTAACAATGATCAACAACCAAATTGACAGAGCTTGAAGAATCTTTAAAAGAGCAATGTTCAAATATTGCACAATCCAGGTGTGTAAATCTCTTAGACTTAACCAAAAAGACTCACAGCTGTAATCGCTTTCAAAGGTGATTCTAACATGTATTGACTCAGGGGGTTGAATACTTATCTAAATCAAGATATATTTGTTGTATTTTCCATTCATATAATTGTTTTCTTTTTCTTTCACTTTGACAGAGCATTTTGTGTAGATCGTTGACAAAAAATGACAATTAAATATTTTTTAATTCCACTTTGTAACACATCAAAATGTAGAAAAAGTCAAGGGGTGTGGATACTTTCTGAAGGGACTGTATGTATATATATATACTGTGATGAGCGTGATAGGAGTCATGCGTAGGAGGGTAATCACCGAATGCAGAGTTTATTCCGTCGTACACAAATAGCGCTGGATAGCGACAAACGAAACAGGCACAGGGGAAATATCTACCCCGGCAATAACAATGTACGAGTAGCTCCACCGAGCTACACTACTCTCACAAGGACAAGGGGGGCAGAGGGAACACTTATACACAGAGTAATGAAGGGATAAGAACCAGGTGTGTGTGATTGACAAGACAAGACAAATGGAATGATGAATAATGGAGCAGCAGTTGCTAGTAAGCCAGTGACGACGAACGCCGAAACCTGCCCGAACAAGGAGGGGAGACAGCCTCGGCGGAAGTCGTGACATATACACAGTACCAGTTCCTTTATTTTACTTTTTTCTACATTGTAGTTCATTTGTGCGTTTGAGCCAATCAGTTGTGTTGTGACAAGGTAGGGGTGTTAGACAGAAGATAGCCCTATTTGGTAAAATACCAAGTCCATATTATGGCAAGAACAGCTCAAATAAGCAAAGAGAAATGACAGTCCATCATTACTTTAAGACATGCAAGTCAGTCAATCCAGAAAATATCAAGAACTTTCAAAGTTTCTTAAAGTGCAGTCGCAAAAACCATCAAGCGCTATGATGAAACTAGCTCTCATGAGGACCGCCACAGGAAAGGAAGACCCAGAGTTACCTCTGCTGCAGAGGACAAGTTCATTAGAATTACCAGCCTCAGAAATTGCAGCCCAAAGTGTTTCACAGAGTTCAAGTAACAGACACATCTCAACATCAACTGTTCAGAGGAGACTGCGAAGAATCAGGCCTTCATGGTCGAATTGCTGCAAAGAAACCACTACTAAAGGACACCGATAAGAAAAAGAGACTTGCTTGGGACAAGAAACACGAGCAATGGACATTAGACCGGTGGAAATCTGTCCATTGGTCTGATGAGTCCAAATTTGAGATATTTGGTTCCAACCGCCGTGTCTTTGTGAGACGCAGAGTAGGTGAACAGGTGATCTCCGCATGTGTGGTTCCCACTGTGAAGCATGGAGGAGGAGGTGTGATGGTGTGGGGGTGCTTCGCTGGTGACACTGTCGGTGATTCTGCAGCGATACGCAATCCCATCTGGTTTGTGCTTAGTGGGACTATCATTTGTTTTTCAACAGGACAATGACCCAAAACACACCTCCAGGCTGTGCAAGGGCTGTTTGACCAAGAAGGAGAGAGATGGAGCGCTGCATCAGATGACCTGGAGGTGTGTTGGGATGAGTTGGACCGCAGAGTGAAGGAAAAGCAGCCAACAAGTGCTCAGCATATGTGGGAACTCCTTCAAGACTGTTAGAAAAGCATTCCAGTTGAAGCTGGTTGAGAGAATGCCAAGAGTGTGCAAAGCTGTCATCAAGGCAAAGGGTGGCTACTTTGAAGAATCTCAAATATGAAAGATATTTTGATTTGTTTAACAATGTTTTTGTTACTACATGATTCCATATGTGTTATTTCCTAGTTTATGTCTTCACCATTATTCTACAATGTAGAAAGTAGTAAAAATAAAGAAAAACCTTTGAATGTGTAGGTGTCCAAACTTTTGACTGGTACTATACAGTGAGGGAAAAAAGTATTTGATCCCCTGCTTTGATTTTGTACGTTTGCCCACTGACAAAGACATGATCTGTCTATAATTTTAATGGTAGGTTTATTTGAACAGTGAGAGACAGAATAACAACAACAAAATCCAGAAAAACGCATGTCAAAAATGTTATAAATTGATTTGCATTTTAATGTGGGAAATAAGTATTTGACCCCTCTGCAAAACATTACTTAGTACTTGGTGGCAAAACCCTTGTTGGCAATCACAGAGGTCAGACGTTTCTTGTAGTTGGCCACCAGGTTTGCACACATCTCAGGAGGGATTTTGTCCCACTCCTCTTTGCAGATCTTCTCCAAGTCATTAAGGTTTCGAGGCTGACGTTTGGCAACTCGAACCTTAAGCTCCCTCCACAGATTTTCTATGGGATTAAGGTCTGGAGACTGGCTAGGCCACTCCAGGACCTTCATGTGCTTCTTCTTGAGCCACTCCTTTGTTGCCTTGGCCGTGTGTTTTGGGTCATTGTAATGCTGGAATACCCATCCACCACCCATTTTCAATGCCTTGGCTGAGGGAAGGAGGTTCTCACCCAAGATTTGACGGTACATGGCCCCGTCCATCATCCCTTTGATGCGGTGAAGTTGTCCTGTCCCCTTAGCAGAAAAACACCCCCAAAGCATAATGTTTCCACCTCCATGTTTGACGGTGGGGATGGTGTTCTTGGGGTCATAGGCAGCATTCCTCCTCCTCCAAACACGGCGAGTTGAGTTGATGCCAAAGAGCTCCATTTTGGTCTCATCTGACCACAACACTTTCACCTAGTTCTCCTCTGAATCATTCAGATGTTCATTGGCAAACTTCAGACGGGCCTGTATATGTGCTTTCTTGAGCAGGGGGACCTTGCGGGCGCTGCAGGATTTCAGTCCTTCACGGCGTAGTGTGTTACCAATTGTTTTCTTGGTGACTATGGTCCCAGCTGCCTTGAGATCATTGACAAGATCCTCCAGTGTAGTTCTGGGCTGATTCCTCACCGTTCTCATGATCATTGCAACTCCACGAGGTGAGATCTTGCATGGAGCCCCAGGCCGAGGGAGATTGACAGTTATTTTGTGTTTCTTCCATTTGTGAATAATTGCACCAACTGTTTTCACCTTCTCACCAAGCTGCTTGGCAATGGTCTTGTAGCCCATTCCTGCCTATTGTAGGTCTACAATCTTGTCCCTGACATCCTTGGAGAGCTCTTTGGTCTTGGCCATGGTGGAGAGTTTGGAATCTGATTGATTGATTGCTTCTGTGGACAGGTGTCTTTTATACAGGTAACAAGCTGAGATTAGGAGCACTCCCTTTAAGAGTGTGCTCCTAATCTCAGGTCGTTACCTGTATAAAAGACACCTGAGAGCCAGAAATCTTTCTGATTGAGAGGGGGTCAAATACTTATTTCCCTCATTAAAATGCAAATCAATTTATAACATTTTTGACATGCGTTTGTCTGGATTTTTTTGTCTCTCACTGTTCAAATAAACCTACCATTAAAATTATAGACGGATAATTTCTTTGTCAGTGGGCAAACGTACAAAATCAGCAGGGGATCAAATACTTTTTTCCCTCACTGTATATACTATAATTTTTTTACAAAACCAGCCGCAGGCCGGATTTAATTGCACCCAGGCACAAGAGGCCAACACTGCCCCCAAGTACACAGCATTTGACTTCCACTAAAGGGTCCGGACTTTCCCTTATAGGCATTCATAATAATTTTACCTTTGTCAGGAGCAAGATATACAAATACCTTAACTTGTAAGATATTAATACAATTCTCTAAAAAAATTATAATTTTGAGGGGTATTTTAATATTACTTCAGTCATATTACTGTAATTTGCTAATTTGGTTTTTATCATTTTTAACACGAATCCTTCAGCCAAGTACAGTTTAAGGTTAAGATGAAAGCTTTCACCAATGTCACACCCTCCGGCTCCAAGGTGATGGCTTTGGTCCTGCTGTCCTTGGTGACCTTCATTGATTGGCTGGTGTTTCATCTCTGGGATGTAACCGTGACGACCGAGGGAGGTGTTCCTCTTCTGTGAGCAGCGGGGGGCTGGGCCAGTGTACTCTAGTGATCAGGGAGGAGACAATGACCTGTAAATCTGTAAATAAGCCAGAGGAAGAGACGGGCACATACACACGCGATGGCGCATGCATACACACACACACCACACACACACACACACACCCAGGAGAGCATGGAACACACCTTGCTTTATTTTAGTCCTCAAGATTTACACATGTAAAGAAAGGTAGGATGTGGGCCAGTATGAAAATGTATGCACTCACTAACTGTAAGTCACTCTGGATTAGAGCTGATGTAAAATGATGTAAAATGTAAATGTGTATTTTCTATTGGATTTAGGGTGAAAGACGCTCAAAACATTATACACAAAATGTTCCACATTCTAACTTCAGAGTAACGACAAAGCAATAACTACACACAGTGTGATCTTCCTTCTCACCACTGAGACAGAGACCCTATCTCTTTAAACCCTCCTGGATCCTTTTGATATTTCTGGGCTGAGCATCCGCCCCCGTCGCCCCTGCCTACCCCCCTGTCCTCCCCCGTTCCCTTCCCTCCTTCTCTGCGGGGGGCCCAGCTGTGGATCATTGCCTTCGATCGGAGGGGCCCTGATTGCGGCGCTCGACAGGCCGCGCGCCGTGGAGTCGTCCAGATCAATCCAGCGATCCCTCCATTTGGTTCCCACTGTGCCTGATGACAATGTTGGCATTCCACATGCAGCCCAAAGGGACTGATCAAATCTACTGCATCGATCAGCTAAGGCTGGACTGTGTGACAACCCACACACACCCACACTTAACTGTACAATTTACTGAGAGATAGAATGCAATAAAATAATGCTTTGAAATATTTTTGGTACAATAATGGGAGATTTGTGATTTTGAGAAATGCTAGTTGACTCTTGAGAAATACTATAAATATAGTCTGAAACGTTCCTAAGTTAAAGTAGGTTATTTACTAGACTAGCATGATTCTTTACCATCAAACCAAACTTTACTTAAAAAGTAATATTGCTTTGGTTTCTTTGTCCATAGTGGCTGCTCTGAAGAGCAACAGAGCGCTCCGGGAGCTGTACCTGTCCAACAATAATCTGAACAGCGAACAGGACTCTATGCAGCTAGGAGACCTGCTCAGATACAACAGCTCCATCACTACCCTGGACCTCAGCAACAACACCATAGCAGACTCAGGTGCACTTAAAGAACATATTCAGTATGAAACAGATACAACAGTACCAGTGGAGGCTACTGAGGGGAGGACGGCTTATAATAATGGCTAGAACTGAGCGAATGGAATGGCATCAAACACATGGAAACCATGTGTTTGAAGTATTTGATACCATTCCACTCATTCCGCTCCAGCCCTTACCACGAGCCCGTTCTCTCCAATTAAGGTGCAAACAACTTCCTGTGAACAGTACCATCACTACCCTGGACCTCAGCAACAACACCATAACAGACTCAGGTGACGATCCTGGTACTGTCAAAGAACAGGACCATTTGCACTCTGTATCACTCACAGAGATTGAGGTAGCAGCAAATTGTTTAACTCCCCTTGTCATTTATGTAAGCCCTTTATGACTAGCCTACTGCACTGTAGTCTTAAGTGTTTTATTTATCTTTTCTGGTCTTGTGCAGGACTGGAGGAGATCTGTGAAGGTCTGAGAGTGCAGACAGATGGACTGAAGGTTCTGATTCTATGGAACAACCAGATCACTCACAATGGACTAGTCCATCTAGCCAAAGTTCTGGTGAGGAACACAGATCTTATGTTGATCCTGTATCGTCATTTAGCTGTGTTGATTCTGTATCGTCATTTAGCTGTGTTGATCCTGATCGTAATTTCGCTGTGTTGATCCTGGATTACCATTTAACTCAAACCCAGCCTCAGCTTTTGACTCAGATTTAGCCTTTCCCTTTGGCAACATAAACTGCACATTTGTCATTTGAGTGGCGATTTGGAAATCAAAAGGGTATAAATTAAAAGCCTTGGCCCACTGGCATATTCAAAGAGAACTCACCCAGGCCAAAAATAAAGTGCCCCTCTCTCTCTCTACGTTCTGACACCACCAACAGTGATTAAATAATAGATATGCGTTAAGGAGTGGCTATCATGCTGCCTGCCATTAAGAAGGAGAAGGAGAAGTCCTGGCAAACCATAATGATGATAATTAGGCCAATGGCTGGTCTTGTCAAATATGACACAGGAAAAGCTGTTATTAACCTTTCTCGTTTGTTGTATTTCTCTTTTCCTTTTGTCCTCTGGGCTGTCTCTGTTGAAAGAGGAAGAGAACAGAGTAAGAGCGGGTTATTTGGGTCAGACATGGAACCACTTTGGCGTCACAGAATGTAATTGGGTTGTAATGTTATTCAGAACACACATTTAGTGTAGTGACAAAATCGCTATACAGTATAACTCCCTTTTTCTGTAAGTATTATATTTGTTAATTGTCTAGGTACTCTGGTTTTAGTTCCTCTTTTAGGCATTTTTTGTCATTTAGCATTTTTTACTACTTAATGGACTAGGTCAGGGGTACTCAACTACTATTTGAGAAGGTCCGGTCACACAAATGTCCTATCTGGCAAATGTCCGGATGGATATTGTCATTTATCGGCGTAGTAACAAACCACCACCTCACGACCCAAACTGTTCATACCCCTCTTTTTGGCGGAGTGAAAGTTTGTCAGTTTTTAAGCTCATTTCCTGCAATTCTAAACATTTTGCCATGTCTTATGTGTGTTCATATGATACCTGAGCGACTCAACAAAATCAATGGGGATCGAGGCCCCTGTGAACCTAAGCTGGCCATGATAACTACAAAATTTTGATAGGTAAGTTAGCTGGTTAGCCTAACTAACATGGGCTAGTTATACATAGATTATAAATAGCTTTCTAAGGTAATGTCTTAATGACATAAGAGGAAAACTGCTATACACTACAACATTTCAAAATTGCACCTTGTACATTCTACTAGTACAACTCTCAATAGCATTAAATTGAAAGCCCGACTGAGTTGCTAAAAAAAGTTGTTTTTAAGTTGGTACCTGCGGTCCGTACCGACCCAGTTCTGGGTCCAGTTCCGGACCGCGGTCCGCCTGTTGAGTATGGCTGGACTACATCTTCACATTTTATAGTTCTGGGTGTTCACTCTGTTTATTCCAGTTGTTTTGTCATCTGAAATCTCAAAATCTGTCTTAATTTTTGGTTTTAACTGAAGCCCTGTATTGTGTTTTCCCCTAAGCTCTCTTCTCCAAACCTACAGTGGTTTACATACGACAGGCCTCATCCATGCTTGACTTCAAGCCTCAAACAACTAGTCAAGTATTTAATTGGTCGCTATTATCCCCTGCGTTCCCCTTCAAGCCTCTCCTCTCCCTGGGAAAGGTTTCAGTCGTCCATCGGACGTGTCGTGCCTCTGTGTATCCCTCTCCCCTCTGCACATCTCTGAGCTGGCATTAGCACAGACACAGCAAGGGCCTCTTGAGTGTGCCACACACACAGTGAGGGGTTCGAGTGTGTTTGTAGTCACCGCTGTACAAATTAACTCTGAAGACGCTCTTCCTCAGGTCTGCTGTTGCAGAGCATCTTTCCACCCCCGCGTTCATTCGTTACCTCCTCAGCCGGGTGACCAAAGGAGTGGAACGGGGGGTGGCAAGGAGGTACGCTTGTGTATCGCTCCTCACTCTGACTGTAGTATACTATAGTATTCGCTGTAGTGATTTTGTGGACATGACTGTAGTATACTGCTGTGTTTACTGTAGTGTTTTTGCAGACATGACTGTACATTATTTACTGTAGTCTCACGTTGCCATACCTCCAGAATCACGTCATGATCACGCCTCCCTTGGAGGTTTGGATAATTTTGTATTGCAAAAACGTTTTGAATGGCCCGCTGGCTCCCAACGGCAGGATTTTGATTGGATCTGACATTTCAAGAACCCTCCCCCCACACGCCCGTAAAAGGGGTGCTGTGTATTATGTGCGACACTGTTTTCCGTCCGGGTAGCTGTTGCCTATGCTAGCTTCAAGTGCTAGTTTTTAAAGTTATAACTGTGGCCGACAGTCTGCAATTATATTTACTGAAATTGAAAGTGGATTACGGTGGTAAAGTCAAACGTCACAACATGTTCAATACCGTTCTGGTGACAAAAAAATTCTCATTTCGTCCACATGGCTGCGCTTTGCTACTACCCAAAATATTGTGAAGATAGCCCATTATTTTGTTTTTGTAAGGACCCAAAAACAGAGGCAGTGGGAGAACCTATTCAAGTAAGTAAATACATGTTTTTAAATGTTAAACAAATATATTATTAGCTAGCTGGCTGGTAATAGTAGGCCACTTTGTAGGCTAACTCAACTGAGCCGCTATCTTGCTAGCTAGATTTACACACTGTTTAGCTATGTGAATTAAAACGTCATCAGCTAGCTAACCTCCTATTAGCTAGCTATCTTTATGTAATCATTGTAAATTAAAAAATTAAAAACCGTCTCCAAATGCATTTGTAGATAATAGCCATGGAAGAGTGGGCTCCCGAGTGGCGCAGTGGTCTAAGGCACTGCATCTCATTGCTTAAGGCGTCACTACAGACCCCCTGGTTCGATTCCAGGCTGTATCACAACCGGCCGTGATTGGGAGTCCCATAGGGTGGCGCACAATTGGCCCAGCGTCGTCCGGGTTTGGCCGGTGTAGGCAGTCATTGTAAATAAGAATTTGTTCTTAACTGACTTGCCTAGTTAAATAAAGGTAAAACAAAATTTAAAAAAGAGGGTGAAATTGGCTACTGGACGGAGAGTGTAGGCTACTGGACAGGGCAGGTAACTTTGTGTATCCAGTTCCAGTCCCTAGAGGGGAAAACGTTGAGGACAGAGATAATAGCAACATGTTATTCAAGTGCTTTCTAATTTGAGTATATCTGAAGCCTGTTTGATTTTTTCTGTCCTCAGATATGGAAAGCTGTGAAAGAGAGCAGATGGTTTGCAGATGAAGAGAGCAGTCCCAATGAATGGGTTATATGTGCAGGCCTACCTATGTTAGCAAATGTTGCATACAAAAATACAGTTAAACATCACACACAATGTATAAACCTATTACAAGTCTGCTCACGCAGTAGATCAGAGATCAGTGGAGCAAGATTGGTAAGGAGTTTTTTTTTGTTCACCTGAAATTCTGCTTTAGTAATAATAGCATACTTGTTACTACTCAATGATCTATTGTTGTTTAGTCTGAGATTTATAATCTTTACATACGTGTAAGCTTATTTGTACATTTTGAAGTGAAGTGTTTAAACTTGTTTTAATTGTTTAAACTATTATTCAAAATGAACTAGTGTCAATGTTGATCAATAACATATCACAATCCTGCAATAAAGACGGGAAGGGGTTCTATATCTAATGTGTCTGTGTTGTAGTGCTGAGCGATTAGTGCTTTTTGAGGTCGGTTCGGTTTCGGTTAGATTATTAAGAAATAATCACGGTTTCCGATTTTGGTTTCAATCTTATTTTTTATTTTTATGACAACTATTAAATCACTTATATCATGTATTTTCAGGTAGAAATACCTCACGAAGCAACTGCTCCTCTCGATCGAGCATTCTTCTGTATTTTACACAGCAGGCATAAAACATAGACCGGGCAAGTAGGCACGCAATGGATTATGGCCATTGTAATTAATTACTACATTTTGTGTGTAGAATATTGGCCTGTTGGAAACAAACTCCCTACTACATTGCACAGTTCGGGCTTGACCTGATTTATCTCTAGAGAAACTTTGCAATGTGCGCATTAAGCTCACAGAAAAAAAAAAAACGAAATGGAATTCAAATAATTGAACTGTCGGTCAATTAGTTGTAAGAAAAAAGAAATGTCTGTTAATCGCTCAGCACTACTGTGTTGTATTCTCAAATGAACATTTCCTTTTTGTCTAGTTGTAAGATCCCCAATCTGTTTAATTGATTGTCACCCTCAGTATATCAGCTATGTGAATCCATTTTGCAGCTTATCATATGGCATGCGTCACCAATGCAGCCATAGGCCTACAGTATGATGGCATTACTGGCCTTATGGGCATCTGTCATCTGACGCAGAGAATAGCTAAACTCACATTGTTTACATGTTGAGCTATATGTTATCAATTTAAAATGATACCAGTAGACAGTGTACTGTATAGGAGGCAAACCATATGCCAGATTTTGTACATGGCTTTTAAGTGCTGACAAATACAATTGTTTAGTGCAAATCCAACCCTTGTAATTTAGGTACAGAATGAAAATAAGGAGATGACAATTCGGCTACAGGAGATGAGCATTACAGGTAACATTTTATTTCATTCATTTTAGCAATATTGCTTGCAAAATTATTGCTGTTGTTCCCATAGATAGACCCCTTAAAAAAGATTGCAGTTTTGAAACTGCAATAAAAGTGCAGTAACTGCAGTCGACTGGTATTTTGCACTCAGTAATTGCAGAATAACTGCAGTTATACTGCAAAAGTACTGCAGTAAAAAATATATATATATTTTTGGACGCAGTA